GGACGATCTAATTTTTTAATATAACAGGTTTGTCCACCTAGCAGTGCCTGATGCTTTTTCAGATCGTTTGAATTTACCAAACAATTATAATGACCACCTGACCACCTGAAATGGACAAATCTCAGAATTTGCAACATTTTTTTAAAGTCCCTTTATTCGTGAAATAGTTTTAAGTGTGTAAGACCACTTAATTTTGTTTGTCGAAGCTCGGTAATTCGAACAGCTGAGCTCCCGGCAAACAAATTATACTGAGATCACAGCAAAAGGGGACGTTTGGTTACTGAGTCTCGGAAAATATTTTGCTGAATACTGCTGGACACTTGCTAATATATCACTTAAACTTGTTGCCGAGCACTCAGGTGTACAATTCTTGCAAAAAATTACCGAAATGGGAAGAACAAATCTCTGTATGGATCTAAAATAAATATAAATTCTCAACATAAATATTTTATATATATTTATAAAATATACTCAAAATAATTATTTATCTAGATTCTGATATCTGACAATATTTCCAAACGCCAGAAATTACCAAAATCTTTGGGTAAATTTTTAATTTGAAGGTCAAAGATCTTGAAAAATTCTCGATGCCTTTGAATTTTAAATGATATCTATGTTTCAGCATCTCCTTTTTACTATCCTTACCATTCAAGCTAAGGCCTGGTTGTCCTTTGCGGTACCGTGATGAATCAAATTCCGGACACTTATTCGATCTATCTGGACAATTTCATAAATGATCCAAACGCCTCTTAACTTTTATGATGATCCTATAGTGTCTCCCCTAGTAGCACGCTTGTCACATATCGGTTGTAGAAACTTCTTTACGACTTATTTCAGTCATAAACAAGTTGCTGCAACTTTTATTAACGGAAGTGTGCTACTCGGGTCCCATGTTCATCTTACATAACTTTTATGTTGCCAAGTAGATGAAATATTTAATTAAAAATGTAATGTCCGGATTAAAAGACTGTCCGGTATTCGGTCCATTACGCAGTCTGCGGCGGCTCCACAGTTCACGGGCCTTATTACGGTGATAAGGAAGTGATACTCGGAATAAGAGCCGTGATTGCCGTACATGGGAATCACTTCACCGTGATGACAAGTGACAAGTTTTCACCGTGAAGTGACGTCCGTAATAAGCCCCCACCTGATCCATCCACCTTGCCCATTTTGAACACCTTTTTCTAGTTCCAGTCGGGTGGTTTATGAGAACTATTTTCACCGGGTTGTCGCCCGATATTCTTACGTTGTGCCAAGCCCAACGTAGTGGCCCGATTTTTTCGGTATGGGTGAATATCCCAGCAGCTGGTGAAATTCGCGAGTCATTCGTCTCCTCAACGTTCCGTCATCGATCTGCACTGCACCGTTGTTGGTACAGATCACATTTTGTTCAAAAACACCAAGGACGCGTTGGAACTCCACGAGCATAGCCTATGGTCACTTCTGGGGTACCACAGGGTTCTCATTTGGGTCTTCTTCTTTTTAAGTTATGCGTAAACAATATTTCGATATAACATACTAGAGGCCGTAGAGAACTTCTGGTCTAATCAGCGTTTTGTAGATAGTCAACTTCGTGGTGCCGCGAACTTTATTAGACTTAATTAGTCCAAAGTAAACACGATTCCCTGCCACAATTCGTCTCCGAATTTCTCTGTTGGTGTCATTATCGGCGGTCACTCGTGAGCCCAAATACAAGCATGTATAATGTGGTGTGATTCCGGAGCATTATCGGGTTTCGAGCGCATGATCGATGGTGCGCAGGATCGCCTGATCGTAAACCATGGTTGAGCCTTCCTTGTTGTTTTGTGTAACAGTTGCGATTAAAAGTTCGATGCGGTCATATTATGGTATTTATATAGTGATAAGTTGGACACGGTGGCCTAGTGGCGACTATTTTCCTTACTGAGCAGATGATCATGACTTCAAACCTAGAGTCTTTCACTTAAAAGAGGTGTTGCCTCTTCTGTTTCCAAACAAGACCACACGATCTAAGAAATCGATTCAGTTTTAATTAGGATAAAAATAAACTACAAACAAATTTTACTTCCCAAATCTATTAAAAAAAAATTCAAAATATAAAAAGTTCTTCAATTATGTATGCCATGTTCTTCTAAAATAGTTAACTGTAAAAGAAAAAAAAAAACAAGTAAAAAATCTTCTTTAGGGTACTTTATTCATTTTCTACTTATAGAGTTTGGACAGTGTGGCAAATCAGTTTATCGCTCCTTTTGTTCCCATATGTGTTTAAACTCTTCCATGATCTTAATAGTTGTGATGGAAACGTATTTTTTTCAATTGTTTTATTTAAATTGATCATCAATTCAATCTGCCTAAAAAATAAAAAATAAATATATAAAATTTTCAATTTTTCTGGGTCCTGATACACCCGAGAATCAGAATATAAAAAACTGTTGAAAACTTCAATAACAATAAAAGTACATTTTGCAAGTTTAAAAACTAACGTTATTTGAAAGTTTACCTAAAATGCTATCTTTTCTGAAATGGACACTTCAAAGTTGAGCAAAATCGTAGAACATCAACTTTTAGTACAAATTTAAAACTTTTTTCAACAAATAATTCTTCTTCTTGCAGAAAACATATTTTATTATCTTTGTGCAGAAAATCGTCTCCAATGCATAAATCACATAAATATTGTCTGAAATTTTAAAATTTAACAGTTTAAGTCAATTTTTAAGTGTCCATATCAAATAAGATAGCTTTCAAATGAGCATTAGTCCAAAAATGTTAAAAAATTACTTTTAATGTTATTGAAGTTATTACAGTTTTTTTTTTATTTTGATGAAAATTTGTGATGTGTGTAACGGGTGATAACTAAAAAATGAGAAATTTTATTCGGCACATGAAAAAACATATATGAGCAAAGATAAAGTTATTTATTTCTAATGAAGCTACGACACGTTTCTACAAAAAGAGAAATCATGAACATTTGAATAAGGTCCATTATCAGCTGTTTGACATAGCTTTGTCGTTCTGGCAAAAACACGTAGTTTCCGTCTGCGTAATGTTATTGAAGAAATGGAATCAAAATTTTCTTCAAACATTGATTTTGGTACACTTCTTGGTTGATAGCCAAACCGCTAGTCTTGAACCATGGCTTAGAAAATCTACTCTCCGATATGGCAATATACAGCATCATTTTTTGTTCAAATTTCTGTTTGAACTTGAATCTTACATTTGGAGATGTTTTACAACTACTATCTGAATAATATCGATCTTTTCCAGGAATGTGAGATTTTGAGAGAGGAAAGTAATTTTCATCATCCAAAACGAGACATTTTTCTGAGTAATTTCTTGTCATACAACGGCATTGGGTTTTCACGATCGAAATTTGTTGATCGGTGTATTCTGGAGCTCTTGATTTCTTTTGAAAAACATATCCTATCTTAATAAGATAGGGCCAACCTCACACGGTTTTACAAATGTGAGGTTGCGTGCACTTTTTCGCGGCGTCTCACTGACTTATTGAAACTTTGTTGTTGAACGTTTTGGGTAGCGATCGAAGTAATTTTTTGCTCATTATTTTGGCTAGTTTTCCACTACCCCTCTTCCGAACTGTTGTCAAGGATGCCAGCATACGATAAACACACACTTAGAAATACCTAATTTTATACGTGACGGTATCCATATTTGACATAAAGGATGAGACTTAAACAGACATGTCATGTAACAGACATGTCATGTAATAAGTGCTCCGAGACTGAAAAGTTCGAAAGTACGTTTGATTGAGCTGCATTTTTCAACTATTGTGACTCAATTTTATGTAAAAATTGACGCTCGTATATGTCAGTCTTAGAGCACTTAAATTAACATCAATTTTTCCATGTGTGCAGTAGAAATTGGTACATTCTCTGATTTGAAATGACCCAACGTAAACTTTTTCCAACGATTTTCGTGTGTTTTGAAGAACTGTGCAATGCGCTCATGAAGTGCTTCTTGTTTTGATGCCATTTTGAACACAAATGAATATGTAAAAATAAAATAAAATATTCTATAGTTTTGTGAAGAGAAAGAGCATTCACAGCAAAAAAATAATTTTGATATCACGTCAAAGTGGATGCACTACAATCATGTCGAAAATATGGTGTAATATTACTTGCTAAAAAGGACAAAATTATCATTAGTACAATGCATGAACTGACATTACGCTGCTTTTACTGCATTTGTTTATTTATGTGGTCATAAAAATTACATGAAATTTTCGACATGATTGTAGTGCATCCACTTTGATGTGATATCAAAATTATTTTTTTGCTGTGTTGATTTCCATTAACTGTCTCTTTTTTGTGGTCATTTGTGGTTTGGCTTTTTTTTTAGTTATCACTCTATTTTTTTTTTTTTAATCTTTATTTTAGAGATTTTTAGCCTGAGGCTAGTTCATCTCTTAGTTATCACTCGATATTTTGTTCTGAAAAGTTCCCTACCAGTTTGTCTCAGACGACATTTCTGTTTTTCTCACGCCAAAGTCACGAGTTCAAGTCTCATCCTCGATCCACACAAAAAAGATGATCTTATTAGTGATTCAGCTAATGAATATTACTCCATATACTTATTCAACTTTTTGAATCCTAAGCTATAGCGTTTTACGGACAAATTGGTAATACACACAGCAAAAAATAAATTTTGATATCACATCAAAGTGAACGCACTTCAATTGTGTCAAAAATATGGTGTAATATTACTTGCCAAAAGGACAAAATTCTCATTAATACAGTGCATGAACTGACATTACATTGCTTTACTGCATTTTTTTATTTTTGTGGTCATAAAAAATACATGAGATTTTCGACATGGTTAAAGTGCATCCTCTTGGATGAAATATTAAAATTTAATTTTTGAAGTGCACTGTAGATTTGCTCTATTTTTCTTCGAATCTTTCTCATCATGTAATCTCGAATGATTAAAAAACAATTTCATAGCATTCTCACATGAGAATGTGAGATGACCTAACATTATATTTTATTGTTTTCTTCGCATTTCAGGCATTTGGCCACGTGAGTGGCTGCCACATCAACCCAGCGGTCACAATCGGCCTGATGGTTACGGCCGATGTCAGCATACTGAAGGGAGTCTTCTATATCGTATCGCAGTGTGTCGGAGCGATTGCTGGTGCTGCTCTTATTAAGGTGAGTGGAATTTGAAAACAATAGCCAAGCTTCAATGCTATCGGGAGCCGGGAATCTGGAAAATATGATCTCTGGTGCATTCAAAGTTTCATAGGATGCTGTTCTCGGTGAGACATTCACTTCTGTTTCCAGTAGTAGTAGTGCCCCACTTTCAATCGCAGAGTTGCACTGAACTCACGCCGCGGGCTACCAGCAGTAGGGGATTTTTTTCGATAATTTATGAAACAAATTCCCACCGCAATGAACAACAACAACCCTTGCTCGAAACGATCGCATCTGGAATTGGTTCGCTGGAAACGATCACCGCACCATCAACCGCGATCTGATAATCAACTTAATCTTACCAATTGAATCAATGTTACTCGCCACACATTCCTTGCCAACAAAACATAGTAATATTAGTATAGCACATGCTCGAACCGGCAACGGGCGTGTGTGGAGTCATCAGTTTCTCACGATTCGGTATTTCAATTAGATGGCGTGGCATCCATTGCATGAACATGACTTATGATGATGATGGCAACTAGCTACTACCTGCAAAGTGATCGAAATCAAGACCAATCATCAAACTATTACCTTTAAAAATAATGGAAAAAACGCTTTATCACTCTCTTACAGGCCACAGACACAATTGCTGTGCACGACTACAGGAGGGGATTCATCTCACAATTAGCTACTTACGGTGGGTGAAGCCCTGTATTTAAAGGGCGTTGCCATTCGTGTTCCTGTCCTCACATTAGCCTCCCGCGATGATGGGTGTTGCCGTTAAACAGCATGAAGCACTAACTGAACTGGCGATAGCCATTTGACTTATGGCATGTCAAACGGTGTCATTCAACAATCGACTTGACTGATCAAATGTGTGAAATTGATGTTGCCTTCGGTTGTGTGCAAGATTCTATTATGATAGACACACTAACTGTTCGAAATTGATTGAAATTCGTCACTTGTTTCGAGAACAGACGCCGAAAACAAGATTGATGGATTCAAAAGGTCAAAAATGACCATATTACTTGCCAGTTTGCCAGTAGTTAGTTCGGTTTGTAACGGCACCTAGACTCAATATAGACGTTCAAATTAATCAACCGACCCATTTATCGCAGCAGTCGTCAATTGTGATAAAGTGAGTGACGAGGTGTAAACTATTAGAACCGTACACATCTCTAGAGCCCTTAATCATCATGATGGAGGTTTTAAAGTGCCGTTTTTCACACTTGCCGCCAAATTGTAGCTTTTGATCCATCCGCATCTGTCCTCCAGCAGCTGCGGCGGTTCGACCGACCACCATCAAAGCACAATGTCTCGAAAAATTATAGACCATGTTCACCGAAGTGAAGCCTTATGCGGAGGGAACCATTAGAACCCGTATTAAGCGATTAAATTCAATTTCCTTCGCAACGACGGTGGTAGAGTTTCATCTATTCATGTATGTAGTCGTGCTGGCTAGTAGGCACGACTTGAAGCTCCAAAGCAGAAACCATTGACCGCATAGAAACTGCATATGGAAAAGGTTATAATTAGTATGTCGCTCGTCTGAACCAAGTCGATCAATCTGCGGACTCCAAAGATGGAAGTTCGTACTCGATTAGCAAAGAAAAGGTTAATTTTCCGCTATGTACCGGACATAATTTTGACTATTGGTCACTTACGTGCGACTGGTAAAATATGGCTTCGGTCTGATGGTGATCGTATGGATACCTCGAACAGTGCTCCATAATTTCAGTTTTCATTGAAATGATTAATGATGGATGATTTCTAACATTCTATGATTTTCCCAAGAAATATTCAGAAACAAAATAAGAATTTTAACCGTCAAATATACTTATGGTTGAACTTTTTGTGCAAATACTTCAGGAGTTTAAGGCTTCACTTTGTCTACAGATGTATTTTCTTATTGTATTAAAAACAAGTAGCAAGAAACATTTGATAAAAATCATTTTCTCGCTCGTATATTCGAGTTAATGACTAACGTCCGTTTTTATATTTTGGTCTAAAACGTTGACTCAGCTGAAATGCGGTCAAAATGGATGTTCTATTAGGGATCAGGATCGCAAGCGTGTCGTGAAAGCGTTTAAGCAGAATCCCAATGCTTCGGTCAGGGATGTGGCCAAAAAGTTGAATCTGTCCAAGTCTTTCGTTCAGAGAGCCAAGAACCGGGAGGGACTGCATACTGCATACTGTGCAGAAGGCTCCAAATAGTGACGCACGGCAAAATACGGTGGGAAAGTCACGGGCCCGGAAACTGTACACCCAGATGCTGACGAAGCCTCATTGTCTCATCATGGATGATGAGACTTACGTCAAGGCGTACTTCCGGCAGCTTCCGGGGCTACTGGTCTTCACCGCCCAGCAAAAGTTTGATGTTCCGGAGGAAGTAAGGAAGCAGAAACTTTCAAAGTTTGCCAAGAAATACATGATTTGGCAAGCTATCTGCTCATGTGGTAAACAGATTACACCGTTCGTGACTGTAAACGGGGAGATCTACCTCAAGGAGTGTCTACAGAAGGGTCTGCTTCCTCTGTTGAAGCAACACGAGGGCCCAACGATCTTCTAGCTTCGTGCCACTATTTAAATGTTGTCCTGGAGTGGTACGAAGCCAACGGGGTCACTTTCGTACCCAAGGACATGAACCACCCCCCCACCTCTCCCCAACGCACCGAAACTAAGGCCCATCGAAAAATACTGGGCTATTATGAAGCAGGCAATACGGAAGCACCCCAAGCAGATCAAATCTGAGGAAGACAAGAAGAAAAAGTGGGTTTCCGTACAGAAGAGCCTGCAGCCAGATGTTGTAAAGAACCTAATGAGTGGAGTTAAGCGTAAGGTGCGAGCGTACGGTTATGGTATTGAAGTTGTATGAAATAAATATGCCAAAAGCTTACTAATGGGTTTATATTTTATTGCCTGAAATTTTGAAAAGGATCGGTCAATTAGGTCATTTTATACAGCGTTTTTTCCGTGATGCAATTTGATGTGGGACACCCTTTACTATGATCAAAATATAAATTGCATAACTTATTTGCACTCTGATTTTTTGAGTCGAAGGGGGAAGACAAAAACTTCAACATAAATTTGCAATGGACATTTTATTTTTTTTAACTTTTATTTTTATAAATTTCCATAACACCATCTAAGATTTTCCTATGCTGCAAGAGCGTAGTGGGTAGGACATAAGGGCGTAGCCAGGTTTTGAGCTAGGGAGGGGCGAAAAAAAGATTACTATGGAAAATTTGGCCGAATTCCATTTCCATGAAAGCCTTTCTGTTGCTGGGTTTAGGGGGGGGGGGGCAGTCGGGGGCCCCTGCCCCTCTCTGGCTACGCCTATGGTAGGACATGTTGTGTGAATACCAGATAACAATCCCGCAAATACTAGACATCCAAAAATATCAAAATTCTACGACTTAAAGAAAATTATTGAAAAAGGTGCTTGGCACAATATAACAGACAAAATTGCTTTCACTGTCCACATATGGGGGGCACGTGCTTACCCCTTGCCCCCTGCAGCTAATAGTGACGTTCATGCGTCAATCCCTATTAAATCAAATTTGGTGAGCAATCGTGAGTAAATCTTCAGGGCTTGCATTTTAACGACAACATTTTGATTTTATTTCGATTTAACGTCTTCTGTAAACTTCCAGACCATTCCGTCTCGTTGCTTTTTATACGAATTAAGTCAACACAGTCCGTCCAACACAGTAGCGTTATCCCGAATCGACATGTTAAGCCGGCGTTTTGATTCTGTAACCATATACTTATTGAACCTTTGGATCATACATGATACGAAGCAATTAGCGATTCCATTTTTTAACGATCCTTTAGTGGAAATCATTAAAAATTTTATTGTTATCGTACAAAATCTACTCGAGCACTTTTTCTTGCTTTGATGCCAAATTAATATGTACTCAATTAATTGAAACGATTGGCACATGTATACAAAATAGTTTGAACTAATCTCCCTCAATTTTATAGATTTTTACCAGAGATATAGACATATTTGACTATTTTTTTACGAATACACCTTAATGGATTTATAATAGAAGAAAATCATGTTCCTACAGTGCACTGGCGCCGGTGGTGTAGTGGTAAGCGTAATTACCTCTCACCCCAGCAGGCCTGGGTTCAATCCCAGTCGGTGCCGCTGGGATGTTCTGGGGCATAATATCTCTGATCACGCCTTCCTTCGGAAGGGAAGTAAAGCCGTTGGCCGGTTCATGAGTTGATGGGTCGATAGGTATAAAGGAGGTAGGGTCCAGGTGTGGGAGCTGTCTCCCTGACGTCGGTAGCATTGGTGCTCAGCACGGAAAACAAGATAGACGGAAAACAAATCAAGGAAAAAAAAATCGCCCAATGATCCTTCACAGTCAAAAGTGTCAGGATTGAAAATCAACAGTATTAGCTTAAATCACTTCCAATCAGATTAACCAACCAACAATAGAATGTCAACCATTCCGTTCATATTTTCGTAACCACTCACCGGTAGATAATTGTACCTTTCTACCAGCCGCTCGTCATGATCACGTACGAAACTCGTTATTCAAAGCGACCGCCCCTTAGATCACCACATTCTTCCTTATCACGTATTGTTTATTGGCCGCAGGTTTTGCATACATTTATCACGTCCACCAAAGTTTACAGCTAACGATCCCTATTCCTCATATAGGCATGCTAAACGCGTATGTTTCGTTCATCGGTGCTTCAAGTTCAATGTGAACTGCTTTCTGATGCGGTGCTGCGGTGGTAGACATCTTCGAAGTTCGGAACTGAATTCGTTTTGAGATTCCGGTTCCATTTGACGAACGAGACTAATTATTATGTATGATCATTTGATGGCGCATGTTTTGTCAGATGGAAAACGAATTTGAACACAAAATGGTTGGAACGGATAAAGTTATCGTTTGGTTATAGAATGGTGTGATTTCGGAGGGGCCAAAGGGTCACAATTCGTTTGCATTTAAATAGTGACAGCAGCTCATTGGCGGTGCAACCGTGTCGGTAGTGTGAAACAGACGCACGCCTTGGCCTTTCGAGTGGAATTTTTCTACATTGTCAGAGTGTGATCACAGTGCATATTTACATATATTTGTGGCCCAGCTGGCACCCTTCGATTCATCTCGACATGACACTTTATTCAAGAGGTACCCTACCCCACAAGAAGTATGACGGAATATCATCGTATCGAATGAAGTTGTGAATATATCGGAGCACAAACAGAATAGTGAGCAGTGAGTTGTGCTTACTCATGAGCCACATATATGCAGCATGACATATTACGGACACGGTTGGAAATTATGCGAACATGAACAGCGTTTCTGTAATGTTAATGCTCGTGTTCTTCAGGTGCTATGGTAGATAACCTGTGTAATTCTTGAGACCAACAGAGTGCAAATCATTGTGCTCTTACGAAGGTCAATAATGTCACCAACACAACAATAGACGAAATTCACTTTAACTACATCTGGTTTGAGTAAATTCTATCTAACTTATAATACAACAAAGTCAACAAAGTCGTAGTCAGCTTCGGCACCGATTGACTTTATTTTTTTTTTTTTTTTTATTAAAGAGACTTTTAGCGATTGACTTTAATTTCACTGTATTTTCTCATCAAAACGCTTCACTGAATATATACAAACGATTCCTAAGTCTTTCAGATCCAATCTGATAGAATTTTTACGACTTAGCAAACACATTTTACCAGGTTTTCTTGAAATGAAACATGTGCACTGCCAAATGCAGCTTATTTCCAGTTACCGATGATAATATAACGGCTGGTTAACACGCAGTTCAAAAAGGAAATGTTGCCGAAGAAAAAGAGGATGCCGACAATAGTCACAATAACCTAATAAGCTTGGAGCGTTGAAAAAATGTTTTCAAGCAATTTTGAACAATTCTGTCGATTGAATTGGATAGAGCAGTAAGCAGCAAATAAATGTAAACAAACGTGTAATGCTGATAAAAAGCCAAGAGATGCACAGACGCTGTCTAAATTGACTAGGATACGTATGTTTGTTCGCAAATTAATTACTGCTTAACTGATGATAGCTTTGCTTCATATATTTCAATGATACATGCTCAGGGATGATTTTAATGATACATGCTCAGAAAAGTCGAGTAAAATTTTAACGGGAAATATTCCATCGACCGGACCGGAAATCGAATCGTACCATGCCTTATTTACTCACTAGGTTATCCGAGGCCATGCCAATTTAACATGGTTTTATTTAAAAAAAAACTGAACACGATTTTTAATAATTAATATGTGTATTCGGTTTGAATGTTTTTTTGTTAAAAAAAGAAATACACTAGTTTTCCCATAAAGAACGTCAATCTCCTTAGGCTGCCCATTTTACTGGGAACCACCGTTGTAACAATTTATCCAAAAGTCTGAATAGATACATGGTTCACATAGGAAGCATACGCAAATAAAGATTTGCCATTTGTCAATCGTTTTGGGGGAATCTGGCATTTCAAACCATTTTGTAGAGATTTTCGTAAGTCTAACTTTACTTTACGCTAGCCGAAAATCCAAATACCTATCCAAACAAATTATTTTAGCAGCAGACTAGCAAACATTTGCTGTACGAGCCTATTTTTGCCGGTATAAGCTAATCTGCAGCTAAAATTGTTGGTTGGGATATCCAATTGTATTAGAGTTCTCTTATTCTTGAAAAATTCCATGCAGATCAGACCAGAAGAACATACAATTTTAATTTAACCAAAATCCAAAATAAATCTAGCAGAAAACAGCGAAATGGTTTTGATTTGACATAAAAATGTAAATTTCAAGGCGATTTTCACTGACATTGATTTGAGGTTTTTACATGTAAAGAAGTTATAGTATATGGAAAAACTATTTCAAAGATTTTTTCCGGAATATTCAATCATAAATCTATTCCAAAATTCTAAATAGCAAAAGTTTATGATAAACTATATCCTTCTCCAAGTATTGATCTCTTTAAACTTCTCATTCAACAAGTCCACCTCCAAACACAGGCCGCAACATTGTCACTTTCCGTTTACCACTATTATTACTGTAAGTATCACATACTTATTCGCTATTCGTAGCTCAACTGTAGATGCTCAGGGAAATGTATAATTAAAATTCTATGCAACGGCAATTGCCATGCATGTCAGCCAGGTGAAGCGCGCTTTGCATAATGTCAGTACGTTCACGTTGATTGTAGCAAACACACAAACGTACTTATGGTGGTGATTTGATAGTAACATTAAATCACATGGTAATAAATGTTCACTGGAGCCATACAGTCTCTCCCATGTGACCGATTTCCATTATGTGTAAGCAGCACGTTGGTTTCCAGCAAAACCTATTGAAAGCGCGACCTGACTCGTCGGTGACGGGGAACCTCCATCAAACGATCTATCAGAATGTTGGATTTCAACAGGTGAATGAACAAAAGGGGGCCCTATATGATGATGGACTAGATAGTTCGTCGGTACACAGCCGAACCCCTACGTCTGTCACAACTGATTTCTAAAGTGAGCTCGAGATAAAAGATTTCACGAGTCAAGGATGTCTCTTGACGATCAGTTTATATGTTTGAACAACTCTCGAAACAAACAATGATGCTTATTTTGTTCTACTGGTGAATGGATGCACTTCACATTTGAGTGATATTACCGGCGTAGTTTTCAAACTCTAAAATGCAACACGTTCCCTTTGCACCAAAATAACTGCTTAAGGCTCGGATTCCGATAGCATTGATTTTATGAGTTAGTATAGGGAGGGAAATTTATATCTTAACATGTCATCAAATTGAGCACCGGTCCATAAAAAGGCACTCAACGATTTATTTGCCGTGTGATAGAATCGTATATATTTATTTTTGCAGCACAAATGTGACAATAAAATGCTCCCCACTCAAATGGATACATAAAACACCTTTATGGGACTCTCCTGAAAAGCTACCGTGCTGACAGCAATCACCATTGCCCATTCAGCAATTACAGATTATCTATTCGTGCAAGAAACATGCAAATAGGAAATTATCTTCATTCTCTGATGTTGGATTTTGCTATTGTTTTTTTTTTTTTTTATCGCAGGCGGCCACCCCAGCCGATGTCATTGGAGGATTGGGAGTTACCGGGATTGACCCACGACTTTCCGCCGGCCAAGGCGTTATTATTGAGGCTCTTATCACCTTCATCCTGGTGTTCGTCGTCCATGGCGTTTGTGACAATCGTCGCTCTGACATCAAGGGATCTGCTCCACTGGCCATTGGTCTCTCCATTACTGCCGGTCATTTGAGTGCGGTAAGTACCTTAAACGCACAAGACGCGTTAGCGAAGTGATGATAGTCGATTATGATTTCTTTTTTTGTTGACACAGATTAAATATACCGGTGCCAGCATGAATCCAGCCCGTTCCTTCGGACCAGCCGTGGTCATGGGTAATTGGACCGATCAATGGGTAAGTGTTTTGTTTAATTTACACGTAATGTTTTTGAGCCAAACTTTTAAGTCATCTGTCCGAATTTTTCCATTGCCGATGAATTAATGAACATTATAATAAATAAAAACAGAGTAGGTGTAGCAGTTATGCCTATACGTTCCAATTATGGTGTGTTTCAATTATGGTCTAAGGAATTCCCATTGGCGATATCTAGAACACCATAATAGGAACGTATGGCCAGCCATGACTGGTACATCTACCCCATTACAATTTCAAATAGCATCAGTCCAATAGCAATATATTCCACATCATCGGTTGTAGCCTGTGCTGGTAAATGTTGACATTTTTTTCATAACCATCATCCAATGTGTAATTTTCCAGCGTGTGCACGGCTGCAAATGTACCGGTAGGGGATAATAGTACATAACGCACCCCCTGGGCAGAACGCATCAACTGACTTTCATTTGAGTTTTTCATGTTTTTTTTTCGTAACTTTTTTGATGTCTTACCAAACATGCTTAGCATGTGAACTCGTGTAAATTTTGCATGATAAATCCTAGAATTGGATTAAAAATACCAAGAAATAAAATTAAAAGGTAAGTTCTACCCCAGGGGTGCGTTATGTACCATTCTCCCCAACACTTTTGAATGACTGCTTGTAAACTTCTCACTTGCATTTGCCGACAGTCGCTATAATTAGACGATCCACACAAAACATCTTGAATTTTCAAAAAACAGTCGAAAATCGGTGATCGAGGGAAACTCTTCTACGTATAACCAAGGCAGTTCTCATACCTAAAATGCTTTTCGGAATCGAGTTTTTTCAGTGGTGGCAGTAAGATAAACCTCAAAAGCATACCTCCTCTCCAAAAAGCAGAAATCCGGAACTCTTCGGGCGTGTTTTGGTCGAGCCCAGTAGACTCTATAATGATAGAATCCGGACAGTTACCGTTTGAGCATGTCGTAGTAACCATAACGATTACCAAACCAGTTCGCAGTTTAGAAAGGACCAACATTATTTTTCCAAACTCACTAGTAACCCTCGATAATGACAACAGCGTCCCTGCAGTTAGCATAGTAATCACAATGTACAACTGAACTCACCACCCTTCCGAGCGTTGAACTCGAGTTGGTGACAGGTCGTGGAATGCAATAAAAATCGTTATAGAGTAGTCGATAAAAATAAACAATAAGATCTATGCAGAACAAAATCCTCTCTTGATGAACATGGCGATCCTCTATGCACTGTATTAAGTGGCAACAACATCTTCTATTCTCGTTGTGTTCACCAATTCAGCGAGCATTCTTCAAGTCTTAGAAAAAGGAATATCCAGGGACCCCTGGGTGCAACAAATAGAACGATTGTTACCATATCAACCGTGGATTCCGATGCACTTTGGAATCGTCGGAAACGAATACGCGGACCACTTCGCCTAGGCAAGAGATAACAGAGATGAGCTGCCATGTAACGGGTGTTAAAAAAAATGAGAATTTTTTCAGTCATATAGCTGGTAAAAATTTTTTTTTTTTTTAAAGAATTCAGTATTTTTTAACAAAAACAATGTTTATTCTTCAAAAAAACGTCAATGAATATTGGAGAATAGGCCCTGGTCAGTCGCACGACGCAACTTAGTCGCGATGCTCTCACAAGAGCGCTGAACGGCACTGAAATCATTCTCATTTTTTATTGAACACCCGTTACTTCCCAGAGAAGACGTAATTCGTGAATGCAAAAGGGCAATTGTTCAACTGTGGGAAAAACCAATGGTAAAACAGTACTAGTTTCATATGGTCGCTTGAGTACACAACACTGCCATGGCCGCACCAATGGACAGCTACAGAAAGAAGTGCACTTAGCCGATTGCGTATAGGACATACCCGTATTACACATCAGCAGCTATTCAGCAGAGAAAGCAACATTTGTCAAACATGTGGGGAACCATTAACGGTCCCTCATATCCTTGTGGATTGCATAGCACACAGCGAACAGCGTTCGAAGTGTGTTTGCTGTGTAGGAGAAATTTAGTGTAATCAGTGCTAACATTTGAAAACGGCGCAAAAGCCATTTGTAAACAAATGGTTTGTGGGCCCTTTACTCGCTACCCGAAGAACGCCCACGCAAACCAACAGCATCGTCAGGAAGGGGAAAATTTCCCCTACCCGATGTTGATGTTGTGTCGCGTGGGTGTACTTCAAGTAGTGAGTAAAGGGCCCACAAACCATTTGTTTACAAATGGCTTTTGTGCCGTTTTCAAATGTTAGCACTGTAATGACGAATTCATAACAATTAAGGCTGGTAAGTTACTGTAGTAACTGGAGCTCCTATGTTAAAATGAAATGTAATTTATTTTGAATTTGGAACAAATAAAAAGTTAAAAAGAAAACAAATTGTGTAATGACAAAAATTCAGAAACGAAACTAATGAAGTTCATTAGAAATTGTTACTTGCACTTGCATTGCAGAACTTATTTTTAATTCATAAAATATGAATAAACCACTTATAGGGTGAATGACCGTAATCCGGTTAAAACCCTTAACCGACAACTTAATTTATGCTGAAGGCTATTGGGCTAAACTCCGTTAAGTATAAGATTGATCTATGCAAATTAAATAATTAAATAAATAATTTGTCTACTTCTTCTTTTTGAAAAATTGTTCAATCCTCATTTTCTAAATGTATTGGTAAAATTTATTGGAAGTGCATGTCAACGCGCCAAAACTGTCCATGTTTCATACATATCAACTTGTATGGTGAGGAAAGTTTAACCATCTCTTTTCTTCGTTCATTTCACTACAACAGCAAATGTGACCTCACACTACCTAGTGCATAATGACAGGTAGACAAAAAAAATCATATTGCTGGACCTCGCTGTATGAAATTGTGTTTACACCCCTGATGGTGGAAAGCTCCAACCGGTATTATCCTCTGATTAAATCCTGATCACGAATGTCAAGTCGGCGGTGTCGATGTCGATGTTAAGCAATACGACCCATAACAAACATTTGACACATCCTTCAATCAGGACCGGTATGAAATGTTGGTCCGAGTTGGAGCTTACCGTCATGAGAAGGAAAGCGAATTACAGGTTATGTGCAATGCTGCCATCTTTCCTGTTAGTGTTTAATTCTTTTTTCATTGGACCAGTAAAATGTCTAAAATGGTCGTTTATGTTTTATTTCTTCAGTTTTTGATATTTATTCACCATTAAATACATCTTTTGCCTGTAGACTTGAAGACATACTTCAAGTCTCCGCGTACATCGTACGGGTTAGCATTAATGGTCCTTCGCTCATTTTCAACTTCTATTCAATTTTCATACTGCCGTACTCTAACGGAACTATAAACCTACCCTCTTCTAAAGATCATTCTCTACCCGAGCAGAAATCAAAATTTGCTTTTATGATGTAACTTATTTTGAATACTCCATTTGATCTCATTTTGGTTGACTTCACGGTCATTCGTGACTAGCCCGAGGTGACATTTGAGCTCAAATCTTTCAGCGTGAGAAGCATGGATGCTAACCATTTACGACAGGCCCGTATTCAGTCAAACGTTATGAATGCAAAATCAGTAATCAAATTGATTTAATTGAAAGCAGAATTAGTTTTCCGTTTGATTCAACAGTGTAAAATGTTGCTCTCATTTTTGCTGCACACCAAAAAATTCTGCATGCAAACATTCATACATGTAAACTTCCTTTTCACGTAAACTAGTAGCTTGCAAGAAATGTTGCAAACAAAAGTGGACAGTTGCATACAATATATGGAATATTGCATGACATGTCTCATAAATTTACAGGATCTATAATCTAAACTTGTATGATACATGACGTCTCATTTATGTGCATCATAGTAACGGAAATTTACACTACTTTTTTTTAGCTGATAATCGTTAGTTTAACGACAGATGAAATTAAATCAAATTTTAAACAAGAAATTAACAGCAGAACTTTAAGTTAAGTTCACAGCAAAAAAATAATTTTGATATCACGTCAAAGTGGATGCACTACAATCATGTCGAAAATATGGTGTAATATTACTTGCTAAAAAGGACAAAATTATTATTAATACAATGCATGAACTGACATTACGCTGCTTTTACTGCATTTGTTTATTTATGTGGTCATAAAAATTACATGAAATTTTCGACATGATTGTAGTGCATCCACTTTGATGTGATATCAAAATTATTTTTTTGCTGTGTTGCTTTGATTTAAAAAGTCTTGACTGCATAATGAAAGCACAATATGATATCAGACTTCTGTCGCGACAATTGAAATCAAAATGAGTTTTCATTATGATAGGAACTGCAAACTTTAATATCGATTTGCTTTTATTTTGTTAACCGACTTTGCTCGGGTAGCTAATAAATTATCACACTAAAGCTTCATGTTAGCATTTCCAACCAACTCTAATGATGATGATTTAATGATATTTAAAAAATAAGAAGAACACAACATTGCTTACCCTTTGTAGAACCTTAACGGTATTTCGATGAAAATTTCATAGACATTTTGAGGAGTATATAAAATAAATCTGACTAAAACTGAAAAATATATAAAAATTTTGGGTTAATTTTGAGGAAAACATAAAGGAATAGAAATCCGAGTATAATTTCATGCAAATGTAGAAGTGAATTCCAAGTGAATTATGTAGTTTTGAAACAACTTTCTACAAGCGATTTTACGAAAATGACGCAATAAATTCCTGATTTTTTAAGCTTAGCATGAATAAGGCCATATTTTCCCGAGGTTTTAGAAGAAACAAATATCAAAATATTGTTCCAAGACAAAGTTTGATTAGAAGGAAATGTCATTTTGAACTGCTCAAATGATATGTTCCATTCCGAAAAGTGTTCCAAGGAATTGAACTCTGCATACAGTTCTAAAGGAATTCTTTGGGAATTCTAAGAAGTATTCTAAAGCATTTTTCAGAATGTATCGAATATTATGCAGAAAAAATTCCAATGCTGTTCTCAAAACAATTCTAGGATTATTTTGGATTATACCTCGAATTTTCTGAGAGATTTTTTAAAAACATTTTACAAAAAATTTTCTACTTTGGAGTATAGTTAAGGGTAAGAAGTGAATGGTGGAGTTTTTTAGGGAGAAACCCAACAATGTTTAAGACGAGTTCTGACACGCACTCTGAGGAAATTTTTGAATTATGTATAGGACATTTTTGAGAATGTTGTGAAGAAAACCTGTAAAGTGCTAAAATGAAATTATCAATTTTAATTAGACCTCAGCAATTGTTCAAGATTCTGTTCCCAAAAACTAGTGAATAATCCTGAAAGCTAGTTCTTATTTCGTTAACAAGTTCGTTTATTTGGTAGGCTCAATCGCAGTAGCTTTATGGAGCCTATAATTCACTGTTCATTATTTGTAACAAAATTCATTTGAATCCTGATGAATGTGGGTGTCTTAGTGGAATACCTGTATAAAGAAAGAGAGAAAGATTAGTAATTTACATTCAGTTCCACTAACTTATTTGCTAATCCTTGACAGATACGTGTATTTCGTCTACAATGTGCAGGCTTCTTCAGTGTCTTGTACTAATACTCGACAGTCGAGTATTAGTACAAGACACTGCAGAAGTCTGCACATTATAGACGAAATACGCGTATCTGTCAAGGATAAGCAAATAAGGTAGTGGAATTAAATGTAAATTACTAATCTTTCTCTCTCTCTTTATAAAATTCACTTATTTCTATATCTAGTAGGAGCTGGGCCAAAAACTCGCGACGTACCCTAGGTTAGAGGGGTACATTGTCGAAGGAGATTTATTTCTTATGCTTGTACATTTTTTTAGCTCCACGTTTAATAAAAATCTAAACGATTCTGAGACTTAAACTTATTCGAAATTTTGGATTTAAAAAATTTATTTTGAACATATATTTATTTTTTAACATGCGGCACTTAGAGCTTTCTATAGCTTTATTTTTTTCTTGCGTGTGTCACCCCTCCAAAAGTGTACAGCTCCCATCGCCCCTGCCGCACGACGCCCCACGGCCACGCCTCATCTGCAACTAAATTACAAAAATTTTAAGGGGCAGAATAATAAAGCTGTACCAGGAGAATACTACCAGTACTGAATTCCCATAAATTTGGGGAAATTATTAACAATGAATTTTTAGATGAATTCCCGGATAAAAATAACCATAAAATTACAATTAAATATAAATAAAATACAATAAATTCTATTGTTTACAAATAATCTTATTATAATTCTATTGTATTAATCAAATAATCAAATAGTCATCACAATAGGTTTACATCAAATTCTATGAAATCAAAATTTTGCACAGTTAAAAAACAATAAAATGTATTGTAATGGATCAAATTTGTTCAAGAAAAAAATTAATTTTTTATTGTTACGGTAACTAACAACCCCCCTTTTCTATTGATAATGTCTCATTAACAATTAAAAATAATTAACATTGTACATAACAATAAATTCTATTGTATTTTTATTGTTTTTGCAATGAAATTTATTGTTGCTACAATAGGTTTTATTGCATTGTAACAATAGGTTCTATTGTTTTTATATGGTAAATTTTTATTCGAGTTGTCTTGATATTCAATCTGGACAGTTTTCAAAAGTTGCTGTATTTTTTTTTTCAAATCGCAAGCGTACGCGATCGCATCAAAATCGAAACCAAAATCAAAAGTTTATTTCGTTCAAACCAAAATACTCATTCACGCACTCATGTATCCTGCACACCCCTAGTGATGCATATGACCAAAGTGAAAGATTTCCTGAGCGGCCGTACGCTTTTGTTTTGACCTGAGCCAAGGTTGGACTCCTGTCGACTTCCTGTATTTCCTTGTTCAGGCTCCACCGCCATGAACCCCTGAGTCTGCCCATGCTGCTGTGTCCTGTCGGGTTCCAAAACCGAAATACTATATTCTCTGTATTACCTTTGTTATACTGCCGTATAACTAAGGTTTTAACAAATTTCGTCAGCGACCAGAGGCCAGCTACACAAACTATGTCACCTGTATAAAACATTCCAAATCGATAGGTCTTGGAAACGCTCCACATCGACAGTTTGATTACGACATCGTAGAATCAAATTGATTGGGCCTTCCTTAGCAAAGTCGGTAAAGGCGCTGGGTTCGATTCCCGGTCCGGTCTAGGAATCTTTCGGGTTGAAAAATTCCTCGACTTCCCTGGGCATAGAACTGTGATGGTGCTTACCACACAATTAAACTAATGCAAAACTGGTCCAGGTATCGAAAGCTCGCAATTAATAACTGTGGAAGTTTAGCGGCGCCGGTAGTGTAGTGGCAAGCGTGATTACTTCTCACCCCAGCAGGCCTGGCTTCAATCCCAGTCGGCGCCACCGGTATGTTCTGAGGCATAACATCTCTGATCACGTAAGTAAACACGTTGGTCCCCGGTTCATGGCGTCGGTAGCATTGGTGCTCAGGAAAAAATGTGGAAGTGCATCTAGAACCCTAAGTTGAGAGCACGTAAGAAGCTAAAATGCGATAAGCAATAAGCTTGAAATGCGAAGAAGAAGAATCAAATCGAATATGAGAAATCGGCTCAGCAAGTCGAGATTAGTCATGTCTGTATGTGCGTCTGTGGACGCATGCATCTAGGCCTGCTTTCTCCGAGATGGCTTAAACGATCAATATGGTTGATTATCATATGGTATATAACTCCTCTTTTTTTAGGAGGAAGGCAATGTTCAGTTTTGCCGTAATCATAGAAGAAGAAATCGTACGCACTTGCACTGTGTCTATATCAAGATTTTTCATACTTTTCAATGTATTCCAATAAGACCACATGCTTTGCTTTAAATTTTCTTCTGCGTGTTTTCCACCTTCTTCTACACGTTATGTCTAAAAAACCCAAATTTGAGTAGGATCTGGTTCGGATTCAGGTCGATGTTGTTCAATCGTCATCTTGTCAGTCCCATCTTTGTTTACTTAATTTTAGATAGGATATGGGTAGATCCTACTCAAAGTTGGGTTGTTCATAAATAGCGTGCAACCAACGCTGTTTTGTTCACACTGAAAACGAATCTATCTAAGAGAGTGTGTCAGTTTTACTCATTCGTATGTAGAAATTTCAAAAAGCGTAGGTTACTCATGCGTTGAGTGACTGGGTAAAAGTGACTCTCTCTCGGAGCTATAGTTTCGTTTTCAGTGTACAAACTCAGCAATTCGCATATCCTTGGTCCATACATCATCCTCTTTTGTACAATCGCTATCAAAACTGGTGAAAACATGAAGGAAACGTGGAAAGCCAGAATTATAGGAAGCTCGAGCATGGTGGGAATCATCGATTGATATTAGAATAGGTCCTATGTCTATTAGACTGATGCAAAATTTGAAATTTTCGCTCCACAGTGCTCAAACGGTTCCGAATTGGGCCATGATTAGCCTCCCAAAATTTGAACTCATTTAGTGAAAAACTAACTTGGCACAAACCATTTGAAGTTTATATGGGAATTACTAAGGAGAAACCGAGGGGGGCGACACATCTAAATCTCAAGTTTAGATGGTCAACAAATCTCACACTAGCGAATCAATCTTCGAACAATCTTCTTTCATTTGTCGCATCTACTTGCATCGCTCATCAATTTTTTGCAGGAAATCTTCAGAATCGTCATCAATCTTCTTTCTATCTACTAAGCGTGCGTGCAGCTAGCCACAGCAAAACACAATCTTTTTTGCATCGTAGATAGAGTCGTCCCCCTCGGGAGAAACCATAATTTCGGTTCATATCTATCTCAAAATTCACCAGTTCACTCAACTTTTGAAAATAATAGCTAAGCTTGTTGAAGTGCCCAGGACCACACTGGTCATGTTTAGGAACCCCGGAAGGATCCGATATAACTTAAAACTTAGAGCCTAATTTATTTACAGATAATATCAAAAACGAGATTGTACTGTGTAACATAGGTTCTATGCACCTGACCGGCTAACAGATGCGAATCCACAACTGATTATCTTCTTTTTTTTATCCATTTGCAGGTTTACTGGGTTGGTCCTATTGTCGGAGGTATCCTCGCCGGTGCAGTCTATCGTCTGTTCTTCAAAGTAAGAAAAGGTGACGAGGAATCTTACGATTTTTAAATTTAAAGTACCAAATTTAAAATCTCATACTGTTTGTGTAACTACGTGTAATGCGTTTTAAGATCATCAATTACTAACCCATCTATCCTTGTTGTCCTTGATTTTTCCCTTATTCTAGATGAACACTAACAAAGTAGGCCAAGTGACTAACGACGTTCAGTACATATAGTCGCAGGCTAGTCCATCGCCTACCTATGTAGTAGCCGATAATACCATAAGTTATCTTATGTAAAACTCCAATTCAAACCCAGTATCGGCCACTACCGTGCATCGTTCAGAAATAAATCTGCCATGGGGAATATCCGTACTAACAACTGTGTGCATGTTTGGAATGTTATAGCGAATTTAACACCGCTGAAAAACGATTGCAGTGCTTGAACGAATTCCACCAAATCGATAAATTTAATAACGAGACGCCAAATTTGAGCAAAAAGATATTTAACTGTTATTCACATTTACTGTAAGCATTTTTTCTAGCGAAAAAACAAACGAACAAGTTCATATACTTTGCACAGCAAACAACTGGCTTCCTTGCACTGTTGGTAAAATCAATTTGTACAAATCTATATTCTATTCTACAAACATATTTGGTACCTTACGCTCTTGACTATTTGATTATCGTTTCACATTTTTATTTTCGCTGCAAACATTTCTCGTCTCAAAAGTGCACAATAAATTAATTCTGAAACCAAATGAAGAAGCAAAATGCTTTTAAGAAAATCAACAACTTACTAACAACATCTTTGATTAAGATCTGTTATCCCCTTTAGATCCTATTCCTGACTTTTGTACAGTCCCGCCAATCCCAGAAAACATTAAAATTGTTACTCTTGTACATACTTCCTACTAACAGAAGCGCCTTCCCCTCTACACTTAAATAGTCCACTAAGCTATATTATTTAAGGTGTTGGGTCGAGCAGAAACAAAAATCGAAAGATTTGTTTAGACGATATCGTGGGTAAATCATACTGCACCCTCATAATCTTTTGCTTATTAAAAACATTCTTATCTGCAAAACTAACAATGGTAAATTTTTCAAATGAAGTATGTCTCATCTCATGCACCATCAGTGATCGAAAGTGCCTAGTAATTAGTTCTGTTAAATAATGAGCAAACGATTTAAATTGTTATATGTTATTATATTTTGCTCCATCACTATTTAAATCACTGTTTAACTATGGAAAAATAATGCATTGTTACAATACGGACGGTACATTGAGGTTTGCCTCGAGTAGTTATTAAAAACTTATCCTGGTTGAACAGTATCAATTTGCTGCGCGCAGCACCTGAGGCAAATATTATCGTAAAATTAAACTGTATCGCCAATTAGCTCAGAGGCAGACCGTATTTGTATCTACAACCCACAGAGTCTTTCCGAGAAATGTTGTTTATTGTATCAAATTTTACCTTGCATATTACGCTGCTGCGGTGAGAACTACGTGCAAAAATCGATCGATAAAAGCTCCCGTATTTGTATCTTCTTGTATGTATTATATACATTGGAATTTACATAAATTTTACTGTAAAGAGGTATGTTAAATAAATTATGAGAAAAAACTTGATACATTTCTTAATCATTGTAGTGAATATCACATCACACCTCTTTTTTTTAGTTTACAAATGTTTTGGTTTTTATCCGAGAGTGAATCCACTATTCTAGAACAAAGATAACAGGTTTGAAGACATTTATTAATTGCAGGCATTTTGTTTATATGTTTACTAGAATCATGATTTTTCTGACGCTTGTTTGTCCTTATGAATAAATGTAAGCAAGCAACGAAGGAAGGAAACATTAGCGTCATCAAATGCATTAGCGCCATAGCCTCTAGATAGACTTGTTCATCCCATACTATTGGTTACGAACTGCAAGGTGCACGAAATTACGTTGTATATACTTAGGGGGATTACATAAAAAAGGTTGGTTGTGGAAGATCAGATTCAATAGCAATCTGTTGTGTGGAGGGAAAAGTTTCTTCTCTAGTTCAGTGTCACTCTTTTAGGCGCGTAGTTCTAGAAGCTGCCAAAGTACTGACAGATTCACTGCTACATGATTGTCTGGCTATTGTGATTGTACTTTAAAAAAATTAAGAAATATGGGGTGTGATGAACGCTGCGGCCTTTCGTTTATGGAAAATCGCGCAGATTTGTCATGGAATATGTCAGTAATTGCGGGAATCAGTTTTGCCGTTCTTAGCAGCAAATACAAATTTCGCGTTACGTCTTCTTCGGTTCTAGGGTGTCAATGCAAGCGATTCCCATAAGGAGGCAAGTTAGCTCAATCACGTCAGCGTAAATTTCGGAGTGTGTGACGAACAAACTTCCATTTTTTCCTTTATTTAACGTCGCTTTCTGTTCCGAAATCTAGTGCCAATCACCGACGGACATCTATTGCCATCCATTGACGGCAATTGAATGTGCGAGAAGGCAGCTTCCACACGCTTAGGATATCGCACCCATTGGCCGGGACCAACGGCTTTACTTTCCTTCCGAAGGAAGACGTGACCAGAGATTTTTATGACTCAGAAAAATTCCACCGACTTCGGCTGGGATTGAACCCAGACCCATTGAGGTGAGAAAGCAGTCACGCTTACCACTACACCACCAGCGCCGGCGACAAACTTTCATTGTATACTTTCAAAACTTCACGGCCATCGGCGTAAATAGGATCTTGGGCTGGCCTTACACAGCAAAAAAATAATTTTGATATCACGTCAAAGTGGATGCACTACAATCATGTCGAAAATATGGTGTAATATTACTAGCTAAAAAGGACAAAATTATCATTAATACAATGCATGAACTGACATTACGCTGCTTTTACTGCTTTTAAAATTACATGAAATTTTCGACATGATTGTAGTGCATCCACTTTGATGTGATATCAAAATTATTTTTTTGCTGTGTAGCTAACAAGACACAAACTATCGGTAGTAAATGTCTTCACATGTTATATCTCTGCTTTTAAAATTGGGGGTGGAGAAAGATGTTCACTATTTCAGATTTATAAAACTGAGGCTTTATAGGGACTTTCTTAAAAGTCAATGGCAATTCGTAGAAGGTAAGAGTTAGGATAACGTCATTTGATATCAGAAAACTCCTAACCACCCAACCTTCTAGATTGTGGAACTTCGTAAAAGTTTAGGAAATGTTACAGAATATCGAGGAACTTCATACATCAAGGATACTATTTTTTATTATAAGGTTCTGGAAATGATCGTTTCTGTAGAGAAAATTGACAATTATTTAATTATTTTATTGAACCAATCAATCACAGTGTGAAATATCAGCAACTCTTTTATATAGATGCTGCATAACTTTAGGAGTCATCGCCATGGAAAATAATCCGTGACAACATGATCAGATTTTTAAACATTACTTGCTGCCCAAGCATATACTTTTGGCATTTTGAATACGTATTGAACAACCTTTCCTCACCTTTTCCAGAGTACCTGTAAAACTTTCAGCGGAGTAGTGCATCATTTAATATACGGTCATAATTATTATGCAAGTGAGCGCTCCTTTTTCCGCGCTTAACTATTTCTGCAATTAAAACATGATTTCGTTTTTTGTTGTTTATTTATGACATTACCATGACAGAGAACAATTGTATTTACCTGTTGAACACCTTTGCACTTCAAAATATTCATGTAAATCCATGAATCAAATAATTATTTATGATGTAGCAACACCTAACGGATTTTGTTGAAATGACGTATTGAGTACCACTTGCTCAATTTTTTTTTTCAATCTACAGAAAGCTGTATATTTTTGACAGATGCCTAGAACATACATAAGGAAACATAATTTTACACATATACACGTTTGTTTTAACCATTTGCATGAACAATATCAAATTGACTGTCAAGTGCGCGGAATAACCCACCTTCACGGTGCATTATCAAATAACTTATCTTAACAAAACAATGAGGCTGTGCATAAATGAATGGAAGGACTTCACATTTGGCACGGAATAGATGAATAATTTAATAACATTATTTTTCTGCACTTAATTATGTATAACTTCTTTTTGATCACTCCACCCTGCATGATGTAAGTTTTATTTTTAATTCTTAAATTAAAGTGAATCCCGATAAGAATTTCAAGGGATCAGAATTCCAAGGATGGTTAAACAAATGAGAACGATTCTGAGACTAGATGAGACTCACCCTATGTGGCTCAACCAAGACTCCCGGATATCTAGCTCAGTAGCATAAGACCCCTGAACTGTGTCACAGGGCCGGCATGCTACTTGGTAATTTGGAGGGGTACGCGGAACAAACTGTGCAGAAACTGTGAGATTTATTTTATTTTACCTACAATCCTACTAATCCTACTAACCCAACACTGACACTAAACAAACACTACAGTTTCCTAAAACAACATGCACAAATTAAAACCTAGGACATTGTAACTAAACGGTTACAATTCCATGAAAAGCGAATAATATGGCATTGTTTAAAGGATTCTAATTTTAGAAATAATTATTTACATTTTTTTTTGGAGAAATCATTTTCTAAAGGGATGCTAATAAGGGCGGTATTTTTAAGTGCATTGTAATGAACTGTTACCCACCTTTCCACAACCTTTGGAGCTCTTGGATGCTGTTTCCTTGCCGAATTCTGTTAAAATTATCAAGATCTCTTAATTTTGTATACCGCCAAAATTGCATCCGAGCTAAATAGAAAATGAAGCTCTCCCCCTAGTAGCACACTTGTCACAAACCGGTTGAATTAACAGCTATATGACTCATTTTAGTCACAATCAAGTTGCTGCAAGTTTGTGTGACTGAACTGTGCTACTTGGGCCGTTAAGTGACGAGCAATCCCCTCAGGTCACTGGCATTAATCGTTAAGTTTCCGCTATCCGAGCACCCAACCTGCGTCCAGCCCTTGGCGATTCTCCAAGCTATGATCACCCGGTCATCACCGTACCCGTGTGCCACCGTCTTCAAGACCGTCATCACTGCTTGCTGCATCTTCTTCTTATTATTATTATTCTTCTTCGCATTTCAAGCTTATTGTTTTTCGAATATTAGCTTATTGGGTGCTCTCAACTTAGTGTTCTAAATACACTTTCACAGTCATTAGTTGAGAGCTTTCTATGCCAATACCAATGCATGAATTTTTATATTGTGTGGCTGTGTTTGATGATACTTTATGCCCAGGGAAGTCCAGAAATTTCCAACCCGAAAGATTCCCTCGACCGGAAGGAGAATCTAACTCACCGCCTCCGGCTTGGTAATACCGTGCCTTTACTGACTATGAGGCCCCTCGTCGGTGCACGAGTTGTAAATAATAACATCATTTGAGAAATCTCTGGTAATCATGACATTTTGATCTTCGAAAATAATGTGAATGAAAAAAAAGACCTACTGTGTCACGATTACCTGAGTTTTGTCAAAAAACGTAAATATCTACAGTGTGTACACCGAAGAATTGTCTTGGCCATCAAGACCACCCCATCCCGACCAGGAGCGTTTCTGTCGTCCGGCCGCTGCCAAAATTGTCAAGCCACCGGTATTGAGGACTATTCTGAGCTTCGAGTGAGGTGAGGTGACTCACTGCCCCTAGTGAGGTAACAATAGTCTTCTCATGTGAGGTGACTCTCCGTGCTAATCAAATCAAATCTCTTCTTTTTTTTTCAAGAATCAAAATGTCATGATTAAGTACATGAGATTTGTCAATGATGTAAATATTTGGACGTCGTGCACTGAAAAATGTTTGCCTCACTAGTGACATTGAATCACCTCACATCACTCGCGACGCAGAATAAGCCTCATTGTCTAGGCTGCTCACCCATTTGTCGTTTGGTTATTAGGAGTGCGCTATTTTTATGGCGCTTGCTATTGGAGTGGCCACTCTATATATTTTAACTCTACACGATCGTTCAGACCAACTCAAAACTTCCCAAGCAACACATATGATCTATAACAGTTCATATAGCCTTTGTTTGACTTGTTTTGGTTATACAGAATTTGAGTTACTTGGGTCCATTTCGGCAAACGTGGATTTACTCAAAAGTGAATTGAATTTTTCGGGCGCAAACTGTGTAAAGCCTCAAAAAACTTCTCGAATATGATGAAAATCCTTGAAAATTTTACTCAATCTAGGAGTATACTAATAGACTAAGTGAATCCTCTATCAATTTTGATAAGTTTTTCTTGGAAAAGCCCAGAAAATTCAACTCACTTTTGAAAAATCCACTTTTAATCAAATTGAGTCGACTCGTCTCAATTTTGAGTTAGTCTGATCAACTGTGTATAAGGCATAATCCAAATCTAATTTATTTAAATATTTTTATTTTATTGCTGTTTCTTCCAATACAATTAAAAATATTGCTGTGATATAAAGAAAACAAATTCAACAAGATTGAAATCACAACTTTATAGAGCACATTTCCGATCTATATACCTATTACCTAGTTCTAGAGTACATCTCCGAATTCCTTGTTGACAAAGATGATACTCCATGTAAGGTGGAACCAATATCTCGTCCAACGAAATGATAATAGCAGCATATATGGTAAGAGCCTTCTCGTATTTCCCTTGCGCATATAGTCGAGTTGCATCTTTGTAACGTTTTGATACATTCGCTTTCTAGAAATAATCATCTCAATATAAATGGTGGTTTAAAATAATGTTGACATATTTACCTTAAGTAAGTCAAAACTGGTGTCGACATCAGTGGATCCACCACATTTGCTACATATCATCTCGCTTTCCAAAGAGTTTTTCTTAAACATCAGTCCATTGTGACAGCCTTCAATTGCCGTACACTTAAATTGAACCTTCATAGGGTTCATAGCACTAACAGTTAGCCAATATTCTTCACAAGCCTGGCAGTTGCAGTCAAATTTGTAGTTCTCTGCCAACAGTTTTCGTCTCTCGACACGTGCTGCTCTTGTATACAGCTGTCCATAGTTTTCCGCCACCACCGATCCGGCTGGAATGTTCTTGATTGTGCGAACATAAACGGCATTGTTCACAAAGTATCTGGTTATGCCCGGATCACAAGAATGATTGAATAGAACCAATGTTGGATACAAACCGGCCCCAATACAAACCGAATAGCCAGGATCTTGACTTTTCCGACGGTGCAGTTCGGAGATTTCGTGAGAGTTATACGTCACGATTTGCAAATTGTGCAGCAGTATCTTTCCCAGGAATCTATGAATTAGATATATTTAGTGTTGTCATGTAGAAAAATCAGGCCTCCAAATTCATACCCGTCTAATGATTTTGATTTGCAGAATCCAGCGAGGACTAGAATTGTGTGAAGTAATGCTGCCATCAACGTCCATTTTAAATAATCTTCGGCAGTCCTATGCTTTGCATGAGTTACATAATTGTACACCTTACGGTAATCGTCAAATGGCAAACTATGATAAATATGCATCAAATTAAGAAACAATGATACCAAATCCTAAACAAACCTGTCTACAAAGTCACTCTTCAGCTTATCCAGCTCATCTCGCAGTTTATAGAAATAATCCTCCGACTTTTGTGAGGCAATCCTCAGGGACAGCATACAAACTACATTCGCTCCAGAGTTTCTCAGAAACGGCAGAAAACCACATTCGAATCTATGATAGCCTGAATAGGCTTGCTTTTGGCATGCTTCGGAGCAGTAAACCACATCAACGCAGTCAGGGCAGCCGAACAGAACTTCAACACGACCACAGCAACGATCACAGTGAGTTGAGCTACAGTTATTCATTGCTACCGAAGCATGGGGTGATTCTTTCAGCAGGACGCAGTTGGGTGCTAGATTGTGCTTAGTTCGAGCGAATCGTCCCTCGGATTCAGTGTAATCAATATACAGTGAATTATCAACATAAGGCACAAACAGTTCCGCCACGGTGTTATTCACGGGTTGGATAAACTTTTCCCGATTGGTAATTTGCGCATCAAGGCGATCAATTATCATTTGCATTTCATTCATCCGTGCATAGCGCTGATCCTCACTAAGACTAGACTGGTGTAGAGCGGCGAATGTTTCTCTGTTAAGAATTTAATATTAGACACCTACGAAACTCAAGCCAAGATTTTAAATTCACATGCCAACCTATAGCATTCAAGTGACGACGGAAGATCCGCCATTTCAAGATAACAGCGAGCTTTCCGTTCCATTAACTTATAACGCATGTTTTCAGGATAGTTCAACTGAATAGAATATTCGATGTCACGCAGAGCTAGATCATATTTGTTGAGATGGAAAAGAACTGCTGACCGGTTGGCAAGGATTACGGCTTTCTCTGCATCTGAAAAAAAAATATTGTTATTAAATATAAATGTGAAATTATGAACTATATTCATTTTTGTTCGAAGATTATAACCTGTTTGGTTACAATTAACCCTATTGTTAGGTATCCTTCGTCGAGTGTATCAATTTTAACTTGACATGGTATGTGCTTGTTTTTGATTTGTATGGCAAGGAACATAATTACCTCCCAGGGAATCCTAAATATCTTTATCAAGACAAAATGACATAGGGGAAAAGTTGGCTTCGGCAATACCTTAACCTATTATCGTCAGGGGGTAAACAACGTCCTTGAGAGCTCAATTTTGGCATGTGGATACATTGTGTTTCAGAGCAACTATTGGCCAAATTTGAGTGCTCTAGGACTTTGTTTACCCCCCTGACGATAATAGGTTAAGGTATTGCCGAAGCCAGCTTTTCCCCTACGATAAACGATCCAAATAATAACGAGTGATCAGTAACGGCAAGCAACAAGATAATATTTGCTTGCAAATTTGTAATGACAATTTAAAATTGTAGGGCCGGCGCCGGTGGTGTTGTGGTAAGCGTGATTGCTTTCTAACACCCCAATGGGTCTGGGTTCAATCCCAGCCGAGGTCGGTGGGATTTTTGTGAGGCATAAAAACCTCTGGTCACGTCTTCCTTCGGAAGAGAAGTAAAGCCGTTGGTCCCGGCCCATGTGTGTTGTGAATGGGTGCGATATCCTACGCAGGTGTGGAAGCTGCCTTCCTGCACATTCGATTGCCGTCAATGGATGGCAATCAATGTCCGTCGGTGATTGGCACTAGATTGCGGAACAGAGACCGACGTTAAATAAAGGAAAGGAAATTTAAAATTGTGTATTGTTTAACTCAAATTTCTCTAAGCACAGAACTTAATAAATATAAAATATTTCGATCTCTAGAGCCAAAATATCGTTGACGTGATTTGTTCTTGGCTCCTCTGGCGGGCGAGAGCTTTATCAAGGCTTTTGCTTCTCAATATTCCTACAGGTTTCATTCGTGATATTCTGTTCTAAAAAGAGCTGTCTACGGTCCACACAAATTTAAATTAATATGGACAATTGTCTACGCAGGGGGAGGGAGAAAAAACTGTCTGCTGTCCATTGCTCTTGTACGCTGCCATCTACTGGCTGGTTTGGTTTGTTTTAATTTATTAGGGAGACTTTCAACCAGAGTTTGGTTCATCTCCGGCCACTATTCAAGTTTTTTTTTGTTTAAATATTAAACCGCATCTTTTAAAATAATTGCCAAAATTATTATAAAGCAAGTATTACGCATCCAAATTCTAACTTTCTGAATGTTCAAGGTAACACTAGTTTTCAAATAAAAGTAAAAAAAAATAACTTGAATCTTTGACCAATGATTCTTATGTACAATCATGCGCTAAATCCAAAAATGTAGTCCAAAAAATCTTAGTAGGACAGTTTTCGAGATACAGCTAAAAATGAAAATTTGCTTTAAAAAAATGTTTACTAAAATACAATTATCTCCGATTGATTGTAATGAGACCATATCAATTATGTTAACACCAAATTAAAGGTATGAAGTGTTTCTTTTCATCAACCCATTTTCAATTGTCAGTGAGAATAGTAGTATTGTTGTTTATTAGTAGTTTTTTTTTATTTGTTTTTTTTTTATATTTTGCATTTTTTTTTCCAGAAAAATTGAATTTCTACTTAGTTTTTAAGCAGTGTAAATAAAAATGTTTGTAGTGGTCTCACTGAAAAATGGTAATCAAACAATCGAAATCAAATTTTATCACCTTTAATTTGGCGTTAAAATAATTAATATAACTTCATTACAGTTGGAGATATAGGTATTTTAATAAACACATTTTTTTAAAGTGAATGGGGTTTTTTTTTTAAATAATATCGGAGTTTTCTTATTTGTGTCAATGATAAAATAAAGATTGATCGGATTCAATGATATTTTATTAAAAAAAAAATCGCAGCCAGACACCGTACATTGAAAACCTTAATAATGATTTTTTTTTTCTAGGGCTTAGCTATGAAAATAATATAAATCACTTACCCTCTAGCTTGTCCACCGTTGCTCTGTTACAGTTTGGACCGTAGTTTCTCCATTTTCTGTTAAAATGGCTGAAAGTTTAGGCAAATGGCGTGCATCAACGAAGCAGGATGTGGCAAGGTTTGAAGTTACCCATTAATGAGTATAAAAATACACATTTTGACTTGTACTACATTTTGAAAATGTGCATTTTTTTTACACATTTTAAGATCTCCTAATTTACACAGTTTTTGACAGCTGTATATAAACATTAAAAAATTTGTTTTTTTTACTCATTAATGTGCTTACGCTGGTTACCGTGCATCTCGATAACCATTTGACAGATTGTGACGAGATTTTGCACATGCAAATATTACACTCTAAACTAGCTTTACTCAAAATGTCATCAATTTTTACCCATGCAATAAAAAGTTATACACAAAAGAAAGTGTTGCATTTTTTTCGAGTACAATCTTTATATACTTTTTTTTCCTTGATTTAATTTCCGTCGATCTTGTTTTCCGTACTTAGTACCTATGCTACCGACGCCAGAGAGGCAGCTCCCACACCTGGACCCTACCTATCGACCTAACAACTCATAGACCGAGGACCAACGGCTAATCTCTATATGTATAATTCGTAAATTTCCATTCTTTGAAAAAATCTTTGACATCTGTAGTATTTTACTAATCTTTCAACAGTGGAATTATTTATCAAATCAGTCTTAAAGGTCTAAACGTCAATACAATAAAAAAAAACAGCTTCAACATCCATAAATATTTCCATGCATGGTTTACTTACATAATTTCATTGTCAACACCACTTTATTGGGTGTACAACCTCTGACAAATTGTCTCTCAAAAAGCGACGAACCATTGTCTTGGCACCGCTAATAGCTTTATTTCTTTAATTGCTTTCATCTCACTTGTCATATAAATATTAACGATGCCATTTCTCCCCAAAACAAAACCAAAGTCCACCTGACGGGTCATAAGCATCTGGCACAGATCACATCAAATGTCGTTTTTCATTTGCAATACATACCCCTCATATATCTATCATCGTTCTACGAGTCAAACCTCACCATACAGTCTGTGTCAAAAAGTAGAAAGATTTTCTCAGATCCCATTAAAATAAACCAAAGCAACTGTGTGCCATCAACAACGTTTCAAATTCCCAGCGAACATGTGGGATACACAAATTAGCACGCGCCAAAAATAATACGACTCGGTGCCAACAATTGCTTGAATGAATCTCAAGGTCAAACTCCCACCATTCATCATAACTCAACGCTTACCATTTTCCGATGGCAACAACAAAAATGCGTCATTGTAGCACTGCAACGCATCTTGCCATCTTTTGCACTGAAATTCCATATTTCCCAGCACCTTGCTCTCCAATGCTTTGGCGAAATCTTTTCCGATACCTGTTCCACGAACAGGTTTCCATAGAATTCCTCCAAAACGGTCCTCAATGATCTCATGTACAAACAGTACTCTTTGTTCATCGTTTTCCAAAAGGGAAAACTTATGAAATTCACTAGCACTGATAGCACTCCGGAACTTTTCATAATCTTCGTGAAAAAATCCGGTATCTTCACAAATTTCCATCTTCTTAAATAGATCGCTCTGCGTTTAACCTCAACAACTGACTGACACCCTCTTCCGGTCACTTAGCTCGTTTGAATCAATTGAGCCACATTTTTGCAAATTCTTCTCACTTCCCCCTCTTCAAACGCTTTGTTCATCTATTAATAAAACGATTTTATGACGTCATTTACACACAAGTGGTTCATCCTAAGCGTGGATGAATTTTAAATTTCGCGTAAGTGCGCGCGCATCGAAATATTATGACGCACTGGGGATTAGCGGAGCTCTTCGTGAACCGTTTGTTATTATTGATTGGATTTCATGTTTACGTCATGTTTTCCTGAGTAGGTGACTATTTGGAATGGCATTGGTGATCATCCATCAAACTTAAGGAATGCAGTTAGAATGAATTCGAAGTGCAAATATTGACGGGACTAAAATGTCCAGATGAGGAGCGTTATCATTAAATTTATTTCATTTTGATCTAGGTCCTCCAGCTACTACAGTAACTTACCAGTCTTATTTGATATGATATATATCTAAGTGTTCCTGCTTTGGCAATTCAGTATTTTAAACAAGTTTTGTATACCTGCAAGTCGTTATATAAATTTTCATCTTAAAACTAAAAACTAATTTATTCAATATAAAGGAAATTAATTGTTGTTGTTCTTTTCAAGGTTAACCAACCAATGGCTGAAAGCCTTGTACAAAATGAATTTAATGAAAATTGTTTGCCTGAAATGATTAATTATTGTTATGGACATTTGACTGAGGTACATAGAATTTCGAATGTTGAGACTTAGATTCTCAACATTTGAAATTCTATGTACCTACCTCGGTAAGAGGCAACTTCAAATCATCTTCAGAACTTAGTCAGAGATTCAATATTAATAATATCACCTTTGGTTTCAAAAGGAATATTTAGATCAAAGTTTTTTGCAAGGAATCAAAAATATCTCCAAATGACAATATGACAAGCAAACATCGAGCGAATGATAACGCTTTGTCAGAAATGGCAAGCAATTATGATATAATCTTCTTCCATTTTTCCTGCACGATTGCTTATATTGACAATAATCGTATTGTCAATACATTCTATATTGACGTCAATACGAAATTTGGTTTTCTTTAAAGTAATTGTTAGATTATGATCATAGCTTACTATAGATACGCAAAGAGTAAGTAAATCTTAAAATTTGAACACCAATGAATTTTTACACTTAAAGTCCGAGATGTGCAGCGAGCATTTCGCACTTCATTTTTACAACGCATAAACAAATACAGTTTATTACTAAAATTAAAATCTATTTTTTACGTATTTATAACAAGCTTAAACTCTATTCTATCTACTGCTTCAAAAAGAAATATGTTTCATCAACTGTGTGCAAAGTTATTAGCAAATGAGCAGTTCGTGACCAAAACTATGTATGCCAAGCATGGCGATATGCACGTTATGAACTCTCAAAAGCTAAATAGCTCGTCTGCATTGTCTTTAAGACATCGAGCATTCCAATTCATAATATTTAATTATTAAAATCCATTACTGAATTTCAAATTCATGACTATGTTATTAACAAATTTTACTCCAGTTTGAATAGCATCAAAATTTGGGGCTTGGGACCTGTTTTTACCTACGGGTACGAATGTAGAATTTATTCGTCGCTGATCGTTGTTAACAGTAGGGGAAATAGTACATGGTCGGGAACGTAGAGCGTTTCCTAGATTGTAAGATCGCATAGCGAGTCCTACATTCCCAAAAATTGGATTTGTGGTTTTCACCAAGATTGGAACATTTAATTTTCTTATGATCTTCCTTCACATGGCAGACGTGCTTTGCGTGAGAGGAATCACCACAATTCATGCATTTAACTGGCATGAAGCAATTTTTTGTTCCATGACCCCATCCCTGGCACTTACGGCACTGGGTGAGGTTTTGGAAACTTCCTCCAGTCTTCCTTAAGCGATCCCACTTCACTCGGACATGAAGCATAGGCTACTGTGTTACCTGACTTATAACGACTATACGTTGTATACGAGTACCCCAAATACAACAAATAGTTCGTCTAATTTTACATTGCAAATGCTATGCAAAATAAGACGAGTCATACGATGTATTGGGGGTACTCGTATACAACGTATATTCGTTATAAGCCAGGTAACACAGTAGCTTTTTCTAAGGCCTTAAGGTTGTTTAGTTTACTAGACTTGAAGTGAACTAAATAAAAATTATTAGAAATCCCGTAAATCGACAGGACGGGATTTCATTTCCATTTTGATTATTTGGACTGGTACAACTCCAAGTAATTTTGCCAGTTCATCTTTGATCTGATGCAGGGATTCACCACTGGGCAGACCTTTCATGACAACCTTGAACCCTCGTGCAGTTTTAGTGTCGAAGTAAAAAAATGGTGCTGCTTCTCAATAAGATACTTGAGAAGACGTTTGAATCCGTCCATCTCAATCAATCCATCAATCCAATGTGATTCAAGGTATCACATGATGGTTTTTGATCATAGTGAGAAAGTGGCCACTTCTCCCGGCCAGGTGTGGCCAATGTGGCCCTAGACCTCCAAACAATAATCATTTAATTAGGTTTTGAATTCTAATTTGGAATCAGAATTAACCTCATACCGGAGCATGTTCCGGCCATATTTCTGGAACTGGTAGACCGATTCCAAAAAAGTAGTCAAAAATGCTCTATTCATAGATTTATACGCAGTGTGAAAACGATTTAAAAAGGCCCAACCAAAATCCATTACGAGCATTTCCAGCCCAAAACGCAAACCGGTTGGTCATGAGTGTTTCCGATTTGAATGAAACATTTCTCACGTGTTCGCTGCTACTAATGGTTGCATTTTTCATTTAAATTAGATTTTTTTCTCCAGAGTAACTTTTGAAAAGGGCGTATAAAAAAATGGATTATTTTTTTTTCAAAAAATCATAACTTGAAAATTATTGATCTGATCAAAATGGCATATGAGAAAAAGTTTTAGGTAGTTAAATTATCTTTGCAGAAAAAAATACACTGAAAGAAAAACTTAATAAATTAGTATTTAAAAAACGTAAAACGATGATTATCTCAAAACACCCCCCCTTCGATCTTCATAATTTTTTTTTCAAGAAAACTGAAAAAAAAATGCCCTAATATTTGGTAAAGAGTGTATGCTGGTAACTTTCTTAAAAAAAAAAATTATAATTTTTGAAATTTTTGTTGGTTTTTACAAGTTGGTGAAATTGCATATTTTTTAGTAAAATAGTAATTTATTTGGATTCTACGCATAATTTTCAAAAACTTTGTATATAAAAACTTTTTTCCTAAGTCTAGCCGTTCTCAAGTTAATGCAATTTAAAAAAAATAATTATGATAATTTTCTACATTTTGGGCCATTTTCAAATGTTAGTCGTGATGTCCAGCAACGAGATGTTTTTCCATGAATATATATTAAAAACCAAACAATTCATTCTCAAATATGGTAGCTGTCAGACTTACCCGTTTCTATTTAGACGCAGCGGAAAAGAAACAAGTTTATAAGTAAATACTCTCAAATATACCCAAATAATCAACAAACCCACTCATGTGCCTTTTTTCTGTCCTCTATTAGTTGTATACCTGGATAGAATTGTGTATGTCATAACAGAGGCTCAAAACATAAACAGGTAAACAAATATGTTATTAAACCTGTAATTGAGATAAATTATCTAGGTACTTCTCTGACGTATACCATATTGTGCCTTAAGAGCTCATCCCGCGATATCACAACTACATAAAAAGGCACCCCGTGGAGGCTTCTTACACTCACACCTAAAAAAGTTTGCTATAATCAATTGTACCTAATGAAGAAAGGTATAATGTCAACATTGTTATTATTCTGCTACATATATATATATTGGGACGATCTTCACCTGTTCCATTCAGTTCATCTCTCTTAGCGTTTCAAGTTAAAAAGCAAGTAGTTTTTTACGATGGATAACAATTTCAAGTGTTGTAAACATCTACCTAAATCAATTTCAAAGCATGACACAGTAGCAGTTCAGTTGTTTATCTCAAAATTATTAGAATTTTTAAAGTTGCAAATAACAGTCCAAAAGTGTATTTTTATGCCAGATTGAGCAGCATCACAATACAAAAACATAAAAAAAATTTGCTAGCCTCTGTGGATTTAAAGATAAGCATAATGTAGAAATTGAATGGAATTTTTTTTGCAACTTCACACGGCAAAGGTCCTTGTGATGCGATTGGCGGTACCCTTAAGAGAATGGCAACCAGAGCAAGTTTAGCTAAGCAACACGAGCACCCTATAACGAACCCTAAACAACTGTACGACTGGGCAAATAGTCGTAAAGAAGATCTTCAAACAAAAATGTCATTTTGTTATGTTTCTACGGAAGAATACAAAAAGGCTGACACGGAATTTGATCCAATTTTTAAGAAAGTGAAACCAATTCCTGGAACTCGAAAATATCATTGCTATATTCCAGTTTCAAACAACCAAATTGCAGTAAAAATATTCTCTAATTCAAACGATACACCCAAATTATTCAATGTATTCAAATAATATGAGTTGTAAAATAAAATAATAAATACCTATATACTGTTTCTTATCTCAACAAATCTTTCATTTGACCACATCAACGTGCTTCTCTCCGCTGCCTCTAGATAGAAACGGGTAAGTCTGACAGCTACCATATCTGAGAATGAATTGTTTGGTTTTTAATATACAATCATGAAATAAAATCTCGTTGCTGGACATCTCGACAAACATTTGAAAATGGCCTAAAATGTTGAAAATTGTTATAATTATATTTTTTAATTCGCATTAACTTGAGAACGGCTGGACTTAGGAAAAAAGTTTCTACATGCAAAGTTATTGAAAATTATGTGTAAAATTCAAATAAATTATTATTTTTCAAAAAAAATATGCATTTTCATCAACTTGTAAAAATCAACAAAAATTAAAAAAATTATAGATTTCTTTTTAAGGAAGTTACCAGCATACACTTTTCACGAAATTAAAGGGTATTTCATCAATTTTCTTGAAAAAAAAAATTATAAAGATCGAAGGGGGGGTGTTTTAAGATAATCATCATTTTATGTTTTTTAAATACTAATTTACGAAGTTTTTTCTTTCAGTGTATTTTTTCCGCAAAGATAATTTAATTACCTAAAACTTTTTCTCATATGCCGTTTTGATCAGATCAATGGTTTTCAAGTTATGATTTTTTGAAAAAAAATAATCCATTTTTTTATACGCCCTTTTCAAAAGTTACTCTGGAGGAAAAAATCATATTTAAATGAAAAATGCAACCATTAGTAGCAGCGAACACGTGAGCAATGTTTCATTCAAATCAGAAGGGGTCGAGACAAAATTGACATTTTTTTTAACGATTTGAGCTAGAAATGCTCTTACCCTATTGTGTTACAGCAGTAAATTGATGATTGTATTAGAATTGCAAGCAATTAGCATTGGAAAGAATAGATGCTTGGTTACAGCTGAACTTAATTCAACGGAACTAATAAAAAAAAAAAGAAAAAAAAAACATCATGAGGTGTACAACATTGAGAAATCCATCCTGTGTGCCTGGTAACACTAATAAGCACTAACTAAGCCTGTGACAGCCCTTGAACACTTCATTGATTATTTCGAAAATTGTGAAATTTCATACAAATCTCTTGTTAGAATTGATGAATCTTTTACAAAATACATAAAACTATTTTATAATGCATTGTTCCTAAATATAAAGCTACTTCAAGACTTGTAAATTATAAAAACACGTTAAGTATTAAAGTCCACTGCCAACTAAATAGCAGACAGAGTAGGCTGATTTAATCCATCGACGAATATCTATTAAATAAGCCAGACTTAAAGCGATAATACATCAACTGAAATTAATTGCAAGTGGCATTAGATTTAGTTGGTGGATGCACCGGTAATTTAAATAAGGTGGGTTATTTGATAGATATATATTTATTTTCGTAAAAAAGCTGAAGATAGTACCAGAGCTGAGCCAAAAAGTTGAGCATAAAACGAGGATTAGCCATATTATTGCAATACTGCATAAGTTGTCAATATAGTTACTACTATACTGCAGATAATTTTTGATTATGCGGGTTGGGAGTTTAAACCGTTTATAGGTTTTTTTTTTTTCGATCATCCCTATCGAACAATAAATATCTAGCGTTTAGAATCATACGGGCCTAATGTGATGATCGTTTTCTCTTTTGTTAATATCTCGGCAGGTTTGAAAAAAATTGTGCATTTTATGTTGCTTTTGCTTGCTTATTAGTATACTATACTGGAACAATTTCGGGAAATTTGTTCACTTAACTCTAGTAATGCGAAGAGAAAATCTATGAAGAGAAACGGTCATTGCATTTTTTCATTTGTTCCCGTTCTTGCTTTTTTGCTTTTCTGTAAGTTGCTGTAAGAAAATAATACAGATTTATGCGGTGGGTGGAGCCGTCTACTCTCCGTCATTTCCCAGTTCAACCAACTTAGCTGATTTTTTGTCGATGACAAGTTTGTGGTTGACCCTAATCACATACACAAAATCAGCTGAAATGGTTGAAAGATTGCTGATAAATGGCGGTGGGTAGACGGCCCCAACCATCGCGCAAATTTGCGATTCCAGTATTATTTTCTAACAACAATTTACAGCACACTCAAAAAAGCAAGTACGGGAACAAAGCTATTTTAATACATTTAAAGATCAACAATTGAAAAGGCCAAATCAGCTTTTGTAACCGAAACTTCTTGCGGCCTTTTCTCAGGAATCAGAGTTCACCCATGCAAACCTAGTAGACCGTCAGGTAGCAAAAAGCTTCCCTTATCCAACAGTATTGGTTAACGAGCTCCGATTCAAGAGAACATGCCACAAGAAGTTTTGTTTACAAAAGCTGATGAGGTGTTTTCATTTGTTGATCTTGATTTATATTATTTATGTTGGACTGATACGCGCATGTGCCGTTCACAGTTTCAAAACGTCCCCACTCGCGTCTCAAACAGCACGTGATGAACACCAACAAATCTTCGTGCGCTTTCACGCTGGCAATACACGTGACTCTTCGGATGATTTCGTGAGTCTTGAAACATGAAGACACGCAAACCAATTCACAATGCGTAGTGAATGCCCGGCTTCATCATTCCTAGTTACATTTTCACCGCATACGGATCTGTGTGGACAATTTTCACAGCCGCCATTTTTACTGCTCTTGCTTTTTCACCGATCAAATGGAAATCTACAAAAAGGATGGATTCTTCCAAAAGTACTGCGAAACTATGCTCAGTGGCATCAGTCAAAATGAGTTCAACGATTTTGCCCAACTGGAAAGTGACGAGAAGCGGTTTGAATTCATAAATGCACTGAAATCCATTGTCACCGAGCTGAAGCTTGCACGTGAGTTCAATGGCAAAAGTCTGGAGCGATCGTTTGAGTACAAGAAGCTCGGCAATCTTGCGTTTCAAAAGGAAAACTGGAACGAAGCTTTGGCTTGTTACAATTTGTGCTACTTGTCTACGCCGGATACGAATGGTAGGTAGTTGAAGGTGATTGATTTCACTTATTATGAAGAACAAACATAACCCCAAAATTATGTTGTATATAAATATCCCAAATATGTAGCAGCCGAAAAGGCGATCATCTTGGCTAATAGATCAGCAGCACTGTATCACATGGAAAAATACGATCAAGCCTTGAAAGATATCCAACGTGCAATCGATTATAAATATCCGAAGGATCTCATGTACAAGATTACGGAGCGCAAGGCACGCTGTTATCTCGGCAAGAAGGACCATGTTAAAGCTCTAGAATGCTTCAAGTGAGAATTATTTTTTTGTTTTACAGTTACATATTGGTACATTAAATTCCTTGCAGGGATACCCTTCCGGCATTGGACGATTGCAAGCTCCCACTTGAGCGCCGCCAAAAGCTCGAACGAGATGCACAAATCATGATCAAGCTGCTTCCGAAGAACATCGAAGCAGAAGCAAAACTAGCAAAGTCTACAAAGCGATCTCCAGCAGCTCCCAAAAACGCTTCTTATCCAGAACACTACGTCGATAAGGGATTATACTTTGATTACTCACAAGACGAGGGTCGCTTTGCCAAGACCAATACGGATCTAAAACCGAATGAAATTCTAATTTTGGAAAAACCTCACGTTTCCGTACTGTTGGAGGAGTATAGCTTGAGCCATTGCAGTTCCTGCTTTAAGCGAGTTTCAATTCCGATTTGCTGTCCTAAGTGTTCGGATGTAATCTTTTGCTCTGAAACATGCGAGAAAGAGGCAAATTCAAGCTATCACCAGTATGAGTGTGGATTTCTGCCGATTTTCTGGAAATCAGGAGCGTCCATTACTTGCCACATGGCACTGAGAATGATCACACAGAAGTCTGAGAAATATTTCATGAACATACGCCAGGAACTGGATGGGTTGAAGAGTGAACTGACTGATAAGTGTGTTGGATTGTATGTGTATGTATAAATTATGCATTTGTTAAGGGTATTTTATGTACCGTAGGTTAGCCAATGACGACTATCGGAAGGTGTACCAGCTGGTTACTCATGAGGACAAGCGTACGCCGGAGGATTTCTTTCAACGCACATTAATGGCAACTTTGCTGAACGCTTGCCTAACACTTGGTGGTTATTACAAATCAAAAGATTCAGAAAGGTATGTACGGCGATGGATTAGCAGCATTGTTATATTTCCTTAACACCTCATGCCTCTACTCGCATATGAGTCCCATATGGATTTATTCGTGGACGTTATTCACTATCAATTAGCATCTACTTTCATATTACGTGATAAAAATACAAACTTTGATAATCAAAAATGTAAAAACAATATCAAGTCAGTTTGTCCTATTAAGCAAAGTAATCGCATATCAGTCCAATCCTGAAATTCGATCGTCCAGGGATCAGAATTATTCTGATTTTTAGATTGCCAGATTTTTCGCCGAAAAAACAAAACATGTAATTTAATTTACACTGATTTTTTTCAAATATTTACATAGGAATTGCACTTCGAGGCTTCAACTGCCATTTTTTCAAATGACTACTTTGTTCTTATGGGACAGGTACGGGATTATATGCAGTACATGCCTGACGTTTTACGATCCAAACAGCTAAAATTGCAACACGAAACGAAAATTAATTATTTTATTCATATGTTTTACTTGTACATTTTTGTCCTAACATCAGCCTTATACATTGCATAAGACAAACCACACAAGTCGTTCAAGAATACATAAGTAGTATGTGTGGCCATTAATACATTTTATTAGTTTACTTATACATTTTATGAGTAATTAGCTATAAAAATTTGCCATTTCTATGGGGCATTTCTATCCGTTTACCATGTCGTCAGTTTTCAACAGATTTTGTTGAAACAACTTTCAATCGATCAGCAATTGGTTTTTAGTCTGTTATTTGAAATTAGCAACTACAACTTTGTAAATCGTTGACTTCACGCAGAAGTAATACTAAACATATAGTAAAAAAAAAATCGTTTGATTTTTTATATGTGTTAAGATTGAGTATAATTTGTGTTTCAGTATCAATATATTTAAAAATTCAGGTACCGAAAATGGGTACTAACCCCACTACATAATTCTACACATATAAAAACTAAGTAGAACCAAATTTTGAACTATTGAAAGTTATTTCATCAAAATCTGCTGAGAACTGACATGTTAGAAATTTCAACATTTTAGGTCGTAAAACGTCAGGCACGTGGATGTTAATAGAAGAAGGTATATGAATTAAACAAATAAGGTGAATTTTCCTGGATATTAAGACTCAAATCGAAACTTGCATGGCCAATGAGATTACCTCAGTTACTGGGAATCGAACCCAGCAAAATGACAAAAAGTGGGGTTATTCAGTGAGTGAGTAAACTTGTCCTCGCTTTCCTGGAAAAACTGCTTGAATGTGAAAAAAAAATCGACATAAATTTTACTCAGTCTAGGAGTATACTAATATACTGAAAGAAACATCTCTCGATTTTCTTCATATTCAAGAGAGTTTTCCTGGAAAATGGAGGAAAATTTAACTCACTCACTGAATATCCCCACTTTTTGCACTTTTGAATCAAATCCGACTCAGTTACTGAGTTAATCTCATTGATCGTGTGCTTTCTTTGGCTAGATTGTTCAGGTGGGTACTGATGATGTGCTGAAAATTTAGGGAAAAATTCCCGAATTTGGGAAAAGTAAAGATTGGATTCACTCAGTCTATTGGTACTACTCCGAAACTGAATAAAATTTTCGTCAATTTCCTCATTTTCCGGCAGATTTTTTAGGTTTTCCACAGTAAACCATGAGACAAATTTTACTCATCACTGAGTTCCTGCACTTTTGGCGATTATGAGTGAACTAAACTCAAATTTGAGTCGTTCTCATTCGCCGTGCGATAAGAAGCGCCTATATATATCTCCACACAGCACTGTTCCCCATCCATCATAGCCTTAATCAGTCTGGTAAGTTTTCTGGGAAAATACATCTCTGCCTAATATTCCATGGCTATTCACATTCAATATTATCGTATGCGGTTAATAAGTGGTGGACTTCATATTCGCAACACTTTTGGAGGATCTCCCATAACGTGAAGATTTGGTCTGGTATTGGTTGTCCGTTCAAACAACCTACTTGACAAATTAAATCAAATCTGCTTGCTTGCAGCAATCAGACGGCAAATGATAATCTGAGAAAGCACTTTGGAGGTGCTGCATTTAGAATATTAATCGCTCGGTAGTTTTCGCATTCTAACTTGTCATTTTTTTGTATATTGTACACCCTGATTCCACTCTTACAGTAGCTGGATCCTGACTATCAGTGGTGCACACAAGTAGCCAACTTATCAGGGGCTGCCTTGTTGTTTAGCCGTTTTATAGCATTATTAACTTCACTTATCTGGCATGTCTCCCTCGTGAACCGTATCGATGAATTATTTCTCCTGTTACTTTAGTTCTTTGTCTCTGCCCTCGTCTCTGCCCCATTCAGATTTTCATCGTAGTGCTGCGTCCACTTTTTGATCATCTCGCATTTGTCCGTCAAGAAATCTCCATTCCATTCTAATCCCAACATTTCGGCTCGTGGCATTGAGAGATGCATTGAGTTTCTTATAAAACTAACGCGTCTCTTGAAACTATCAATATATCTTCTTCAAAACATTCTCTAGCGAATAAACTATCGCACTAAAACTTCATGTTGATATTAGTATTGCATTTCATCCCAACTCTAAAAATAGTGGTTTTCCACAATTAAATACAATAAGATCGTAATTTTTACGAGAATTTGATCACATTCTGCTCCATTTATGATTATTCAGTGTAAATAAATACGTTTTAGACATTTGTTAGATCACTAACACAACCGCAAATACCTAGCACGTTTTCTGGCATGATCCAACATTTAAAGCATTTTTTTTTCAAAAGTTTCATCGGTGGACTATTGGTACACAACCTACAGCTTCTGCAATACAACGCTCACGAAATCTCCGAGCTCCAGCGGGAAACCGAGCGTGACATAGGCAAATCAACGTTCATCGGTGGCGGTCTCTATCCAACACTGGCTCTCTTCAATCACTCCTGTGAACCTGGAGTAACCCGATTCTATCGAGGCAATTCGGTTTGTGTACGGACCGTAAAAAATATCCCGTCCGGCTCCATGGTAGCTGAAAACTATGGCCCCCTATTTACCCAAGTCTCCCGAGAGGAACGCCGCAGCACCCTTCTGAATCAGTACAAGTTCTCCTGTAACTGCCTGGCGTGTTCAGAAAATTGGCCCAAATTCGCTGACATGAACCAAACTGTACTGCGTTTCAAATGTGATGGCGGGAAGATCTGTTCCAATGTGCTAGAGATTCCAGTGGAGATTAACGAGTTCATGGTACTCTGCACTGAGTGTGGTGAACACACCAACATTATGAAGGGACTCAAGTCATTACAGGTAAGAAACACCTATTTAGGTCCAACCGAGGAGGCTAATGCCATAGAGGTAACTCTAAGACCAGAAGGTCCCGAAGAAACGTGCTCAACTTTTTGGCGCAGCTCTAGTACCATAGAAGTAACTCTAAGACCAGAAGGTTCCGAAGAAACGAGCTCAACTTTTTGGCTCCGCTCTGGTACTATCTTCGGTCCCAAGCTAATCGATTTACCCCTCGAAGCATAGGAAAATCCAATAACCCCTCATTTTATCTGTCAAACTTTCATAGCGAATCAAAACAAACATAGTGTAGTACTAGAATTTCAACTAGAATGGGGTACGTTAGTCGATTTGCTTGGGACCAATAGGCTAATCAAGTAGTGAGCCAATTTAAAATCGTTAATTTCGTATTGATTGTTGCTGTACTACTCTCTTCGGTCCCAAGCTAATCGATGCACCCCTCGAAACATAGGAAAATCCACGAACCCCTCATTTTATCTGTCAAGGTTTCTTAGCGAATCAAAACAAACATAGTGTAGTACTAGAATTTTGACTAGAATAGACTTCTCTGACGTTTGTGAAATGCACAAGTATTAGTGCAGAACTCGGGGTAAATTATAAGTATTAATGCAAGAAAACCTTTGAATTTACCCAAAGTTCTGCACTAATACTTGTGCAATTCACAAACGTCAGAGAAGTCTATGGGATTCGTTAATCTATTTGCTTGGGACCAATAGGCTAGTCAAGTAGTGAGCCAATTTAAAATCGATAGTTTCGTATTGATTATTGCTAATGCCTTGTTCAGACTACAGGGTTATTACATGTTATAATAATTATCGACAAGAAAAGTGTCATCAAGATAGGCTTATAACATGTTATAACCATAGAGGTAACTCTAAGACCACTGGGTCCCGAAGAAAATCATTATTATTTTTGGCTCACTCAGTACCAGAACAACGGTCCCAAGCAGTCCCAAGCTATTTCACTCACCCCTGCATGTTCTGCATGAATCCACTCACCCCTGATGTTATCTGTCAAACTTTCATAGCGAATCAAAACAAACGTAGTGTAGTAATAGAATTTCAACTAGAATAGGGTACGTTAATCATTTGCTTGGGACCAATAGGCTACTAAAGTGGTGAGCCAATTTAAAATCGTTAGTTTCGTATTGATTGTTGTTATAACTCTTCAGTAGAATGATGCAAAATTTGACTTTTTCGCTCCACAGTGCTTAAATGGTTTCAAATCGGGTCGTGATTAGCCTCCAAAAGTTACAACTCATTTGGTTAGAAACAGACTTCGCACAAACCATTTGAAGTTTACATGTAAATTACTATGGGAAATCTCAACTTTTTGTTCATTGCCTTCTAGTCTTTTTCCATATTGAGCTGCAAAACAGCTCGATAGCGATTCTTATAGAAAATTTTCTCAGCTACAACTTTGCTGGAGATTGTTTCTATGTAAAACGAAACAGGAAATAGTTATTAATTATTCAAGAGATTAGTAAACTTATGACATGATCAAGCAGCTGCTCTGTAGGCAACACTGTATTTTGCAGTGTGACATAGTAGCCATGATTTTTGTGTCCTATTCAACGCCCCACAAACACCAATGTTGCCTGCTGAGCAGGTGATTGAGCATGATCATAGGACATCAGTGCATTGAACCATTAATAACTTTCGATCCTTGCATTTAATCAAAAAGTGGTCTTGAGCAAAGTTGTAGCTGGGAAAATATCCTACAAGTAAAGTTGAAAACTTTTGAAGCAGACCGATATGGTGAATTATTAGATAGACATGAACAAAAATCTTGGTTTTACCATAGTAATTCCCATACAAACTTCAAATGGTTTGTGCCATCTCAGTTTCTCACCAATTGGGTTCAAATTTTGAGAGGTTAGTCAGGATCCGATTTGGAATCGTTTAAGTATTGTGGAGCGAAAATTTCAAATTTTGCATCACTCTACTCTTCAGTCTGGCCAGCGTTTAACATTTCATACATTGTTTTCAGGATACTGACATGTTGTTCAAATCGGCCACTAAATTGCATGACGCAGATGCATACGATCATGCTCTTCGGAAATACGTGGAAATGATGAATACATTGGATGAAGTTTTGGTGCCACCGTATCGCGATTACCATCTGTGCCAACAAGGATTACGAGCCTGTATGCTTGAATTTGGAAATCGATACGTGAAAATGGTTAATAAGAAGTAGGATCAACGTTGTCTTAGTGATACCCATAAAATAAACTTGCGTTCACGTTCAATAAAAATCAAATTTAGTCTTTGAAGACAAACCAGCCATGAATAATATTCAGAGAAATTCCTTTTTCTAATAAGCGGCGTTTGGAAGCTAGACCATGAAACTTGACATAAGTAAATTAATTCTGCACAAACACCAAGAGAATTCTTCGTGGTCTGTTTTCATGTTAGCCCTCAATCTAACCAAACTGTTTAACTTATTTCTTCATGTGATTTGAAAGCTGTTACCGCATGGGTTTACTCTAAAGTGTATCTCAAAGTTTAGCATTCTTAAATTTTAGAAGAAAAAAATACAGCTACACGAGCACAATTTGTTTAATTAAAATATATTTTATGATTCTAATCTAAATATCTCAAATGTATCTCAATATACTTCAGAGATATTTTGTGGAATTAAAGTCTATTTGAAGTATTTTTTTAATAATTGATAACATTTTACGTTAACTTGTGCATTGCTTAGAAAATTCATTCAGAAAAACATGTATTTTTCCAAATTTCATGAAATATATATTTTTCAGTATACGGCGCCGGTGGTGTAGTGGTAAGCGTGATTACCTCTCACCCCAGCAGGCCTGGGTTCAATCCCAGTCGGCGCCGCCGGGATGTTCTGAGGCATAACATCTCTGATCACGCCTTCCTTCGGAAGGGAAGTAAAGCCGTTGGTCCCCGGTTCATGAGTTGATGGGTCGAAATGTAGGGTCCAGGTGTGGGAGCTGCCTTCCTGGCGTCGGTAGCATTGGTGCTCAGCACGGAAAACAAGATCGACGGAAAACAAACCAAGGAAAAAAAAAAAAAATATTTTTCAGTACCCTAAAAATAATAGCATTGATCTGGAAAAGTTTGTATTGATCGAGGAAAAATGTTTAAAGTGTTCTTTTGAATGATTGTTGTAATACTAAAAACGTGAATTTCAGGCAAATTTTATAAAACTTCGTATATCTCAGTTACTGGGCACATTCTTTTTTATAAAATATTACGTTCTACAACTTTGCACAAAACGGCAAAACTCTTTCTTGTGAAATGAAAAAGTTTGTGTCGATGCGCCATCTTTGTGGCCGAAACTTGAACTATTTTAATCTTACTCCAAGAAACTTTACTCAATACGTTAACTCAAATGGATGCAATCCCAGAGCGTTATTAATTGTTTACTGCTAGATTTCATTCACGGCCCACTTTACACGGCTAAAATTTAGTGGTGAAAATTTCAAGGGAAATCCATAGATAATCCCAAAATTAATCTAGGAAATTTCGTAAATAACTGGCAAGACATACTGGGATACATCTAAGTTTCGTCAACTTAAGAAGCATGCCACAATATTTACATAAAAGCAGACTTAAGGGGAAATTCACCGCTCCAAAAAAAAAGTTTTGATTTTTTCTAAAAATATTGAAAAAAAGTATAAAAAATCTAAAAAAAAGTCAAATTTTTTTATAATTTTTCAAAAAAAAATCACGTGCAAAAACATTTTTATAACTCATTATGGCATGACATTATGATGCGTTGGACTCAAAATACCACAAAACATCGAATCTTGAGTTTTTCTGAGAGTCCAATTTTTTTCATGATGAGATAAAAAAAATATGTTTACATGTAGTTTTTGACAAAAATCAGAAGAAGAAACTGATTTTCTTGGATTTTTGATAATTTTTTCCAATATTTAAAAAAAAATAAAAACGTACAGAAAATATTTTTTTATTTTTGCCCCGGTAAACTTCCCCTTTCAAATTTAAAACCTCCAATAATTGCCTGTAGTTCAATTTTCAACGACGATTCGTTAAATTTCTTATGCTAACTCGGTTTACAGTTATCGAGAAAATATAGTTTATGGAAGATATTGATATATGTAAAACTAGAAAATATTATATCCTAAAAACTACGTTCAATAAGTATGAAAACACCTTAAAACAGGCTTCTAGAAAGCAGACATTTTTTTAAATTCGTTTTCCGTCGATCCTGTTTTCCGTACACTAAAAGAAAACCTGTGCTATAATGTGCCACATGGAGGCGTTAAATTGAGAGCAAGACGCTTGCGTTTTGTTGCTGATAATATAACATGCTTACAGTAACCACGAGCAAAGTAAATTTAACTATTTTGGAAAAAGTTACATGGCGTAGTAGTTTTAATCATATATTTTACTGCGCAGTGGTTTTTACCATTTAAAGGAACATATGCAATAGTACATTCCATTATTAATATTTTCACTTTGAGAACACTTGGAATCAACTTTTTTCTTTGGTTAATAGTAGTACTAACCATATTGTTTTATCATCTACCATATTCTCTACTTTTTTTTACCATGGTTTCTTCCAACATTATATACATGAATCGATGGTCCATCAATTGATCCACATTCAGAATCTGTAAATCTGGGATTCTATCAAAAATTTCAAACGATGCAAAATCGTACGAATAGTCTCCTACTTCCCATGTCTGGCATGCTATAAATCAGGCACAACATTTGATAACGGCACAAAAGCATTTGTAAACAAACTTTCTAAGGCCATTTACACGCAAACCAAAGTACGCCCATAGAGGTAACTCTAAGACTAGAAATTCCCGAAATAACGTGCTCAACTTTTTGGCTCACCTCTGGTACTCTCTTCGGTCTCAACCCAACTAACATTGAAAGCTGAAGATGAGCTTATTCAGGCAAAAATTTGCTTCTTCAGCTAAAACATGGCTATTCAGCTTTTAATAAGCTCAAATTGTTTGTTGGGAAGCTAATTGATTCACCCCTCGAAACATAGGAAAAACCAATGACCCCTAATTTTATCTGTCAAACTTTCATAGCGAATCAAAACAAACATTGTATAGTAGTAGAATTTCGACTAGGATGGGGTACGTTAATCGTTTGCTTGGGACCAATAGGCTAGTCAAGTAGTGAGCCAATTTAAAATCGTTAGTTTCGTATTGATTGTTGGTACGCCCACGTAAACCAACAACATCATTGGATAGGGGCAACTATCACCTTTCCGAAAGTAGTATTGGTTTGCGTGGGCGTACTTTGGTTCACGTGTAAAGGGCCTTAGAAAGTTTGTTTACAAATGCTTTTGCTATCAAATGTTATGCCTGGAATAATATGAAGTAATCATTTTAATCATGAATGTTGTTAATATTACCAACAATCAATACGAAACTAACGATTTTAAATTGGCTCACTACTTGACTAGCCTATTGGTCCCAAGCAAACGATTAACGTACCCCAATCTAGTTGAAATTCTAGTACTACGCAATGTTTGTTTTGATTCGCTATGAAAGTTTGACAGATAAAATGAGGGGTTATTGGTTTTTCCTATGTTTCAAGGGGTGAATCGATTAGCTTGGGACCGAAGACAGTACCAGAGCTGAGCCAAAAAGTTGAGCACGTTATTTCGGGACCTTCTAGCATAGAGGTAACTCTAAGACCACTGGGTCCCGAAGAAAATCATTATTATTTTTTGGCTCACTCAGTACCAGAACAACGGTCCCAAGCAGTCCCAAGCTATTTCACTCACCCCTGCATATTCTGCATGAATCCACACACCCCTGATGTTATCTGTCAAACTTTCATAGCGAATCAAAACAAACATAGTGTAGTAATAGAATTTCAACTAGAATAGGGTACGTTAATCGTTTGCTTGGGACCAATAGGCTACTAAAGTGGTGAGCCAATTTAAAATCGTTAGTTTCGTATTGATTGTTGCTTCTAGTCTTAGAGTTACCTCTATGATATTACTATGTTGAATTTTAAGGGCAGGGGAGTAATTTTGAAAAATCTTAGTACTGTTGATAAGACCATCGGAAGATTTTACCACAGACAAACAGACATAACACATTGAATATTTCTCACTGTAATCATCGTCGCTAAAACATTACCGCCATCTGTTGAGTACACTGTGGTGGGTAGTACGCTGAACAGATGGCGGTTGTGTTTGAACGTCAAACGCAACCCTAATAAACGGGTACCATACACTAACGATACCATATATGGTACGACCATACTACATAAAGTTAGGATGATATCCCGAATTGGTAGTTAGGCGCTTCTTATGATTATTGATTATGCGGGAAGGGAACTGACTATGCGCGCCACAGGTGGCTGTAATACCAACTACGATACTTTTAAATTGACCGTTAAATGCCTTTTCGATGAACAACTCGCGAGTGTTATGTCTGTTTGTTTGTGATTTTACCATGACCTGGCATGGTACAAGCACATCCCTGGCAAGACAAGTACTAGCTGAAGCCGTAACCGATTTTGGTGGTGTTAGTGTTGACAACACGTTTTTAAGCTACACTCATGTGTGCCGCATGGTTATATCGCGTTAAAAGTTTTTACTGGTGTGGTAATGCTGCTATCACATCCAATTATAATGCACTTAATTGTTAGGCAACGATAATTCGTGTTCAACACAGTAAACAGCGCCTATGATACAACAAAGATTTAAAAAATCCTTCCCGCCGCTCGCGACAAACGTTCCTAATAACGTATCACGTATGAACAGAGCTTGCTTGCGAAAATTTGCAGCAGCTGTCAAATGTTGACGTAAAATCGAACCAGAGAACCAGGATTTTTCGGCTTCAAAGTATATGGGAATGACATTTGTGTCATAGATGTGGGTACAAGTGAACACTTTTGAATTGTACGTGCTACCATACAATTTTTATGAGTGTAAACACGATAATCTTTTGCCCCTTTTCAATGTATTACATGAACGGCGCCTTTCTTCCGAATGATGACAATGATAAAAGTCAACATCATTAACAACATGAGCAAACGTCAGTCTACAATCGCAACTCGCAACTCGCAACGCAATCTAATCGAACCAAATCCAAAAAAAAAATTTGTTTCTGAAATAATTTCAGTTTGTTCTCCATTGTTTTAGTGAAAACATAATAAAAATACTTCGTAGAATATTGTAAGTGCTACCATACTATATTTTTTCAATCCTAAATTGAATCGTTTCGTAATTACCCGGTTATGAACTGATAGAGTGTAGCGGCTGTTATATTCGGCAGAACTTGTAAACAATGGTGTTGCAGTACATTTATTAAATATCATTTCTCATAGTAAAACTATCGAAAATATTGCCACAACATCAAGGAAACAAAAGTAATGGATGAGCAGCAATTGTACGGTAGGTATTTCATTATGCTAGCTAGACAGAATTAAATTGTGAGTAAACAAAAATAAAAACGCAGCTTCTTCAAGGCCTCTGCGTCAGAGTTTGTAACTAGAACAGTTAGTCTATAAATAAAAGTGCCGGCTGACGGAATTTGTTTTCACATGATCTGTATTATAATGAATGGAAATAACCTAATCACACTGTGGTGTTTGTTACAGATGAGACCATGCTGGACATTGATCCAATACTTGAAGATTTTCCTATGGAAATGTACCAGGGATCTCCTGGTAGTGAAGGAACACTAGATGTACTTGAAAGTGAGCATAATCTGTCTCCAGTGATGGAATCGCTTGAAGAGTTATCTCCGAACCACGAAAACGGCATGATGAGTCCTCAGTACGGAGCCTTTATTGATCCAGACATATTCCTCAACGGAGTTGTTAAGAGAGAAAGCGAGTCAGATTGTTCCACGTCCTCACATAGGAACACCCCTTCTCCCTCGGATAGCAGTAAGAGTTGCGATTCATATCCATCTAGTGGATATGCATCATGTAGTAGTGCTCAAATGAACAATATTCTGTTCGACAGCCCTCCCACTTCACCAGAATATCCCGTTAATCCGCCTCAACTCGTTTCAAATCTCAACAACAATATAATCAGAGTCGGTACGGCCCAACTGCCAGCAATACAAAAACCATCCTGCCCAACAAACATAGCAGATTTGAAGAAAGTTAAAATTCCACCAAAAGGATCGATCAATGTTAACGGCATCTCGTCGGGGGGAATAACAAAAACCATTACAAAGAAGACAATTGTTCTAACAGCGAAGGACTATCAAGCACTGATGAAAAACATGAAGAACCAACCTAACAATGGAACAATTTTGATCAAAGCTACACAAGCATCCGCGTTTGTAGCAGCGGCCAGCAAAGATAAACCCGTTCTCCCTAAGCCACTTCAGCAGTCACAAGTGACATCATCGTTGTCCACTGTTCAGGAGTTATATCAACCGGAGGAATCAGTACAACATACGGTAGCATCCGTTCCTCGTCCTCCTTCCGCACAAACACATTTGCTGTTGCCTACAATAGAAGGATCGGTTAACGAGCGGGTGTTCAAGAAACATCAGCGGATGATAAAAAACCGGGAGTCCGCATATTTGTCCCGAGTGCGCAAGAAGGAGTACGTTACTTCACTGGAACAGCACATCGATGAGCTGACGAAGGAGAATATGTACTTGAAAGACGTAAGTATAAAATGTTGTGATTAAAAAAGACTTCCCATACCGGGAATCGAACCCGGGCCTTCCGGGTGAGAGCCGGATATCCTAACCACTAGACAATATGGGATGGATTAATGTGTTTTTATACGGACTATGAATTCTCCTGATTCATAACACAAAATAATCTGTTCGGTTATCGATATTGGATTACTAATTTTACAGAGATTAGATTTTATCTACTTTATGTATTCACCGGAAGCCCTTAAATCATGTGCAGAAGTGGCAAAAGATGATGTTTTTTTTTTTATGTAAACACCATTTGAACGAACAACATCTAAAAAAAAAAAGATAAAAAATACACCTTAAATATACTCAATTCTGTTTTTACGCTTTTTTACGTTCGTATTTTTCTATCGAGTGGTTAAAAATAACAACCAAATTTAGAGCATTTTTTTTTTTCAAAAATTCAAAGGAAAATGTTGAACAGTTCAAAGAAGTTACTTGCTGTTTTTTTTTTAATTTATTACGTTCCGTTCGTTTTAAATTTATTATATTCCCAGGTATTTTCAGCAAACAGATCGGTAAAGGAAGCTTTTATCTAGCATCTTATACGAAAAACACAACAAGAAATGGATTTGTTCTCAAGTTATTAACGAATGAGAAAGTCGACGAAGAGAATCGATTCATGTTATTTAGGAAAAATCGAGCGGGAATAATTTGTCACTGGTGGCATCCTTCGTTTATGGATAAAACTAAATAAGTATCTGACAACATACTATTGCAGGAAAACAATGGACTGTTGGAAAAATTAAAACAGAAATGTTCATGTCATGGTGGAAATAGACCTAGTTTTGGACATCTGAATGCCTTCACCAAGCAGCTGACTCCCAACGTTCGAAAGAATACTGCTATAGTTCTAGCAATGCTATTCATGGTTTCGTTCAACTTTGGGCCACTTGGGTAAGAGAGTTGATTATGTTTTCCGTGACTAGCTTAGTAATTTTTGCTTGATTCACAGAAATTTGCTCACCGGAAGCGTCAGGAACCAAGCCGGTTTGGAAACAACCGACGATATACCCCATCATCAACGAAATTTGCTATGGATAGAGGATTCCAACGCTTTCAACGCTCGTAACGTCGACATCAGTTTAAACCTAACTAACTACGAAGATCTTTCTGTTGGAGCAGCAGAAGAACCTTATGCTGTTTGTCCATTCTACGTCAATCAAACCGAAAACATCAGACTGGCCAGTGAACTACGACGATGGATCGGTGAAAATGGGTATAAGAATCTGACCGATCGTGACGGTGATGATATGAGTATTAACTCATTTTCGGAAATGTTTGCTCTGAAGGATACGATTGACTCGATGTATCGGCAGATGAAGGACATTAGTTCGCAGATGGACGCGTTTCAAAAAAGAACTAGACTGACGGGAAACAAGAAGCGACCGCAGTTAAAAGGAAAAAAGGCCCGGGAGTTGGAAATCTATCAGCAGCAGAGAGCTAGGAAGGAAAGTGATTTGGCTTTTTACTACTCTGGGTTCAGTAAGAAATATGCGAAATTTTTTGAAGAAATTGGCCGTCGAGACGACACATTCTACCTGGTGTCGTTTAGTGGAGAACATTTGCTGCTGCCGGCGTTGGCCCACAATAAAACCAATCGACCCAAAATGTCCCTCATGTTGCCAGCTCTGATGGATAACGGTTTGTGCTCGTCTTCTACTTCATTGCGATTCATGGTAGTAAATAACCAATTTGTTTTTATTTCACAGCGACACATCCATCGGACAAGGTAACGTTGATGCAGATCGACTGCGAAGTAATGAATACTTCAATGATCCAAATTAGAGAGAAAACCATTCCGGGTGATCTGCTACGGTCCCACGCTAAGGCAGACGATAGCACCAGAGCCAACGGCAAGAAGGCTAAATCTTCGACTGATTTTAGTGACAATAATGTGCAAAATGTTAGCAGTTCTAGTACTGCTAAGGAAAGCAGAAGGTATAATAAGGATCCCTCTGCCAGACCGTTTTTTGTTCAACGCATGAGCGAACATATGAAACATGAATATGATCTACATTAGAAAGTAACTTAATCACTTATCTCTCGACTAACAATTGAAAAAAGCCTATCAGCTTTTGTAAACAAAACTTTGTAAGCCCTTTCGCTCGCAAACCGAAGGCCGCCAATCAATGACATCATCGTGCTGGGGAAAGTTTCTCCTAAACTGATGCTGTTGGGTTGCGTGGGCGGCCTACGCTTTGAGAGGAAAAGGCCTTACAAAGTTTTGCTTAAAAAATCCGATAGGCCATTTTCAATTGTTGGTAGAAATCTGTTATGTTGTTCAAAATTTTCTGTTAATTTTTCGTACCTTGACTTTTTTTTGTTATACAGCTCTAATAGATATAAAAAGCACCTTAAAATTATTTACAACTTGGTACGAGTTCATGTAACGATTGTGCAATGCATTGCAATTATAAATTACGCTGTAAAACTGACTCGTACATTCTTTGCGACATAGATTAGATAAGCATAAGAATTGGAATTGGCTGTTATATTATTTATTTAGACATGAAAGAACAAACATGAACAAGCATGCATTTGGAGATAATCTACAACAATCTTATCAACTTACAAAGCATTACCATTAAGAAATACACAATAAATTAACGAAACTACTGTCTGCTTTATTCCAACTTCTCCGAAAGCAACTGCGTTTCTATAAGATCCACTGCTTTGTTGTCGAGCTGGGCACGAGCTTCGCTTAGAATGAGTTCGTAACGCCGAGCTAGGAAAGACTTCCGCTGGATGTAACGTTCTACCAGAATACCGAAGGCATTGGCTTCCTGTACGTAGTCGTCTAAAATGGGCCCCGCATTTAGATAACGTCGTTGCTCGTCCGACAGTAGGGAAACGTCCAGTTCAATGTTGTTCTTCTTGTGCTCGTTTATTTCTTGGATTTTGCTCCGTACCAACCGGCTCCAACTATCGATCTCATTCTTCAACTGTTTTTCGTAGCTGCAAGAAATCAAAGGGTAATAATTTATACACGTTTAAAACAACGATCCCGATGAACTTACCTCGGTTTGAAAGGAAGTGGTGAAGCTGAAGCAGAGGCTGAACGTTAAGGATTACATTGAAATTAGGAGTTACATTTATTTAGGTTTCACAAGAGGAATACGAATAATTACCATCAGACAAAAATAACGATGACCGACGACGGATTGCAATTTTCTGTGGAATGTTGACAGGGTCCCCCATTTTAATTATTTCCTTGCTTTGGCAAACAGTAATATGCAACAGTTTTGCTTCTAAATGAAAATTATCAAATGCAATCAATTGCAAATTTAAAAAAACATGCATGAAAAATAACAAAATCGAAGAATGTGTAAACCGAACAGAATCTCGATCTGATCAGTAACTTGTTTCGGTTTAAAAATTGGCGTCAGTCATCATCATTGCTGTCATTTTGATGATTGATGATTTATACACGGAAAAGATACAGACTTGTAAATGGGGTGGAACATATTTACACGATACTTTCTAACACCCCAAAATTGAGTTGAATGTACACTGGAACGGCCACTAATGGGCTCATTCAAATACAGGCGAGATACAGGTATACCTCGATATAACGTAACGGTCACTTTTGACTTCCATCGCTGATTTCTAGCTAACAATTAATTATTAAATCAAGCAAAATAATAACACCATCGGATATATGATAGGGTAACGGAGGTATTTTGGACCGCTTTAGGAAGTCGTTATACAATTTCTTGAAAACAGTATGATTTTGTTACAATAAATGGTTATTGTGTGTGGCAGGATAATTTCTGAAAAAGGGATTATACCATCTGTTTTCTGTTTATGGCCGTACGACTGCGCCCATTGATTTAACACACGGCGGCTCTTTATCCAGGATTCGTTCCTCAAGCCGCTGCCATAACATATATACTATCAAAGCTACACACCTGTGTATAATCCTTATGGAACGAGTATTTTACTGAGTTTTAGCGAAGACAACATATCAAGAAGACTGGCCACTCTTCCATTTTCTAATACAACCGTTCGAGACAGGCACTATCCCGTCATCTGTCACTCAAAGGTAAATGCTTCGAACGAATTTGATAGCAACCTCAACCTCAGAAGAAAGGTTTGTGTATTTGCTCGTATTTCAAGCGCTGCTTCCACCTTCACCCAAGTTCAGCGCTGTTGTATCTGTCGCTTGGATTCTGGAAAATTTGCCAGTCTTCTTGATATGATGTCTTCGGTTTTAGTCAATCATCGTAAAGCTGTCATTTTAAGGAAAATTCAGTTCTTGTTATTACAGTATTCAGTAGTTTTTCGCAAAAGCTACTTAACATTAGTAGTTTTAATAAAAGTAGCTGAATGTTCGGTATATTTGGTGATTTACAGTTCGAAAACTGTAAAAAAAAATCCGAATAGGGAAGGCATGATTAATTGTTTACTGTCAGATTTCTCCATCTTTTTTTATTTCCAAAAACCAGCACCGAGTTGTTAGCTCAAATGAGTGACCCAAGCAGAATTTTGAATATAGCCGTGTATTGTCGAGATTTTGCAGCACTGGCAACCACTCTGATTTTTGCTATTTTATCAATATTTTATAAATCAGCTTGAATTATGATGATCGATTTAACATTCATATAACATAACATATAGCATAACAATCATATAAAGTCTGGCCCAACTGGTTTATTGGTATTAGTGAAATGTGCGAGGCTTTATGCTCGACTTTATGCCCCGCCTCATACATAAAATTCGGTGGGAAATTCTGTGAGGGGGGAGCTATTTTGTGTGCAGAATGTGTAAAAAAGGAGGGACTTCGAATAATAATCTAAATGCATATATAGAGGTACCAGACATGTTTTGCACTGCAGTGTCCTCTGTGAACAATTAAAGGGAAACAGATTGTGAGTAGTTTTTCGATAGATGTCACCGCAAACAACAGCTGTGACATCTGATGGAACATGAATGCAAAAGCTTAACAAAATGATCAATTGAATATACCAAAGGAATTCTGACCAGCGCAGCAGTTCACTTATAGATCTAAATACGAAATGTAGGTTCTATAGTGGGCTCAACAGAAAAAGGCAGTTAATCAGACTCCATTAGTACCCTTAATTCAAATAATGCTGCAACTCACACAAAACAAACTACAGAAGTCTACTCATCATCCTCTATAGTCGGTCTCCAACTATGTTCCCCACCGGTTCAAATTCTTTCCGGCCGCTAATAGACCATTGCTTTTCACATCACGAAAGGCTAAGTTTCTGGTTTGTCCTAAAACACAGGACTTTTATTATCATACACAGCAAAAAAAAAATGTAATATCGATCAACGTAAAGCTGATGTATGAAATAATGATGTAATAGCAAAAAGCAGATACAATATTACATCAATGGATGTAATTTTGTTCGCAAAATCGATGTATATCGTACAACGTGAACACAACCGATGGATTGACCTGGTTGCAGCAGTTCAGATGTAATATTCAACAAGTTTTTTTGCTGTGTATGAACACAAAACAAACAAAAAATCGCACACCCGCCACTTTCCGCGTCATCCTCAATCCGATTTATCCTTGCGATTTCAAAACAAAAACATTCAAAATGTCGGAAATACCGGGTTGCTGGGATGGGTATTTTAAAAACAATCGCAGCTTGCTCTATGACCGGCACAATCGGCAAACTTGCGGCACACTGACAAAAAAGATGACCCAAGATGGGTGTGCGGAGTGATCTACCCCTTGAGGCAATCCATTTATTATGTCACGCTAAATTGAGGAAAAATTAACATCCTCTCCCCCGTTCGTGACGTTTTTCCGATACCTTATGCATTGCTTGTCACAAAATCATAAACCATCCCTTTCCCCATTAGAGCTTGACATGGTGCATCATCCCTATGGGAAAAAAACCTTTTTTTTTATTTATAATTGTACCTTGTTTACCAATAAGGTTCAGGAAAAAAGTAAACGACAAAGACCATGAATGATTTATTTAGGTGGTCGTCAACTTCTGTTGATCTGAATATGCATCAAAAGCGTATTTTTTCACTTTTACAAGTTCCTATATGAGGATTTTTATCATTTTTTATTACTACCACTGGTAGGGAACAGCGCCATCTGTGTGAAAAATAGCCATGTGGATTTTGTTTCCACTCCTTGTTAACCTTTTGCATCAGTTGGTGTAATCACCGATTCCGCATTGGGTTGTTGAACTAAAGAAAACAAAAAATGCCATCAACAAACGTCAAAGTCACTAAAAGAGTGTTCATACTGAAAAAGTCGCGTTTCTCGATTCACTCGCGTCGGTATTTTTTAATTTTATCTAATTATAAACAATAATTTCACCGAAAAATCACTATTAACGCAATCCGCACTATTGAAGTGTCCGGTAGCTAGTCGGTGTGCAGAGAATCGTAGCCATCCAAGTGCAGTTAGAACCTCAGCATTTTTGCTGTCGCCGCCCCAAAGAAGGAAACCATGCTCAGGATGAAGCGCTTTATGCTGCTTAGGTAATCGTCGGGGTCGGGCAGACGGGAAGCAACAGCAGCAGAGAAACGGAAGACGGACGCACCGTGTGGTGCAGTTCGTCCAATAAATAATAAAGTGATCTACCGCAACGGGGAAGACGGGGAGTGTTGGGAATTTGCCAACTTACGCAGGGAGATTTTCAATACAATAATATTAGAACTACCGAAGACGTGGGATTTACGTTCATTAATTATATTATTATATTCCTGGAAAAAGGTTCAGGAAGGATGTAACGTTAGTGAACATGTTTGCATCTTAATATTAGTCCATTAGTAATTTTCTTTTGTAACTTACGTTTAGTCCCGTTGTGCTACACTTGCAAGCGATCGAAATTACGGGTCGCACGAGATCGTCTCGTTTTGTCGGTGGCCGTCGTAACAGGCAATCTAGCAAACAATTTATCCGTACTGAATCCTATAAACCGTACTAAAGCAATCTAGATTTAAGTATTTACTTAGTATTTTAGATTATAAATTTTACCTTCACTGTAGGTTTAGGATGTAAGTAGATTTTAGGTTATGATAAGTTCACTAGTTTTTATCAAACACTATGGAAAAGGTATTAATTGTAAATAATAATTTTAACGAATTTTAGAAATAGAATTATACCTAGCTGATTTTACACTAGTAATTTAATTTAATGACTTGAACTTTCAATGGAAAAAACTAACTAAATTTAGACCGCAAACTCATTGATGCCGCACGTTAAATTGTTGTTTTATGTTTTTTGGCGTTTGCCTACTATCAATTGTTTATCCGTGACGTTTGCCCAACGTCTCTGGAGAGAAGGTGCGTACTATACCTGGGTGCGTTGATGTTTGTGTAGGCAAGGTGTCTTGGATGGGAAGGTGCGCATCTGCGCCAGGGGCGTACTCAACACTCCTCCCGGGTACGCCGATCCTCTGATCGGCTTACAGTCCGTCGCGCCGTACATCCAATATAGCCAGCTTGGCCACAGGGCGCTCGAACACACCGTTCGCAGTTCTTACGGTTGCCGCCCTGATCTGATTGTCGTTCTTGTTGATGTAAGTTCCGATGACCTTGCCTTTAGGCCAGCAGTTCCGGGGCAGCTTCGGATCAACGATGATCACCACATCGCCAATCGCTATCGGCTTCGTGTTCGCATACCATCTCGTTCGTCGAGTGATCTCCGGCAAGTAGTCACTTAGCCAACGTTTCCAAAACTGGTTGGCTAGCTGCTGAGACATTCGCCAGGTCCGCCGTAGTGCTGTTCCGCTGTCATCGAGGGTACATATCGGTTTCGTTCCGTCGGATGACCCCAGGAGGAAGTGATTCGGGGTGAGAGCAGGTGCAGATTCATCATCAACCGGAACATGTGTAAGCGGCCGAGAATTAACAGTGCATTCGATCTCGGTTAGAAGGTTTCGTAGCACTTCGTCGTTAGGCTTGTGCAAGGGGCGGATTTCCATGAGGTTCCGCTTCACTATACCGATAAGGCGTTCCCAACTGCCGCCCATGTGCGGCGACGCTGGGGGAATGAACTTCCAGGTGGTCTCGGTACCGCTGAACTCCTTCATCACCTCGTCCTGGTTGATCGCCGTTGCTGCCTCTCCCAATTCGCGGTTCGCGCCAATGAAGCAGGTACCGTGATCACTATAGATCGTCTTGGGCATTCCGCGGCGTGCTGCAAAGTTTCGGAGGCCCATGATGCAGGAGGCGGTACTCAAAGTGTGTACTACTTCGATGTGGATCGCACGAGTGGTCAGGCATGTGACCAACATTCCCCACCGTTTCTCCACTCGACGACCTACGACGACTTCGATTGGTCCAAAATAGTCAACGCCAATATGGGTGAAGGGTCGAGCAAAGGCATCAAGTCGCTCTAGAGGAAGATCG